TCAAATGTGCCAATATATTGCTATACTTTTAAAATAATAATAATGAAAAAGTATAAAATTATTATCAAATATGAGAATGTTTTATTATTGTTGCTGGTGTTTTTAAAAATATTTGAAAGATAAATAATAATACGAAGTTGACTCATAGTAAAAACGAAACAAAATAACGTTATAACTGGGAAAGCTTTTTCGACAAAATTGAAATTACGTTACTTTGCAATTAATAAATAAGAAAATGTAAAGGATTAAAATAATCTTTGAATATAAATAATAATAGATAAAGAAATTAGCGATAATGAGCCACTAGTCAAAGATAAACAAAATAAACATTACAAAAATGCTTCCCTCTTATTTTGAAAATTATGACCACAGAAATAAATGTTACTCTTTAAATATAAATAGACTAGAATTATTCATGCCATTATATAATTAATTTAACAAATACAATACATTGAATGTACTTATGACTCTTAGCGAGATATTTATATACTTCATAAATTACTCTTGCTAAGCAACAATTATTTTAAAAGAAAAATCATTTTATACCATGATCTTAAAGTTAAATATGTACAAAAGATTATAAAAATATGTATATGTAAATGGTTAATAATATAATAAATATTATAATATAATAAACAAAGAAAAATACAAGAATAATGGATGATTAAAATTAAAAACAATCAAGACTTTACTTTAAAATACATCGCTTTCTTTGATCAATGAAAAAAAAAACATGACTATTTCCTCTGACATCACAAATTGGTCCACAAAATTCTTATTTTAAATACATAGATGATATTCTAATAATATATCTACATGACACAATTTTAGCAGACCTTGTAAACAAATTTAAGTGTCAAGTCTACAATAAATTTCCTCTCTAAGAAGGGAACCCATCAATAAACCAAATATTTGTTTCTTGGATGAGGAATTATCATTATTTACACTATTTATATTGTGACTATTGTCCTCATTTCTTTTGTTAGTATCACAATGTTTTGGCCATTTTGCCCTCTGGTTTTTTAATCTGGGTAACCTACAGGGAAGTCTGAACTGAATACCTTATTTAATTTACGGGGATTAGACTGTTCTTGTTTAATTGCTCACTAGTGTCTAGTGGGCAGTTGTGTCTAGTTGTTATTTTTAGTACTGCTCATCTATTGCTCACTTGTTTCTACCATATTCAAGTATATAGTGTCTGGCCTAGGGATTGAACTCACAATTACTATGTCACCAAATTCATGAACCAACACTAGGCTACTAGGCTATTGTCCTGTGAGACAATTCAGTTATCTGTGGTGAACTTAAACCTAACTTGCCCACTGTTTAGTGCTGCTGCCTGTCATGCTTGACTGCTGCTGCTGACTTGCTGTCATTTGTCTTTCTTTATTAGTGACTCCTATATTGTATTCATTTCTATACTAAGCCTGCAAAGGAGATCCTCATAGCCAATCATATGCACTGATACTTTCATATATCTTACTCACCAATGTTCTTCCTTGTCCAGTATCTTCCATTCATTCCACAGGCATTGATTACTACCCTTTTCCCTCCATACATGATCAGTGTTGCAATGGAATGTTCCACATTCCCTATCACATAGGTGGGCTGAATATATCAGTATATATATATATATATATATATATATATATAGTAAGCACAGGATATACCTGGCATACTTGCTTTGGGAATTACTAGCTTGCTAACCGATTCCCTGTCTTTCAGTATTTTCTTTTATAATAAACCTCTCTTTCTTTCATCTATGTTCGTGTTGCTGTTCCTTTCACTCAAGTACCATCTTTGTCTGTTTGTAACCTCTTTAAGGATACAACAGTGGCGTCAAGGATTCAATTCAAACTCACAGCGAGAAAGACCCCAAAACACTGTCTGTAAAACGTACAACAGTAGTAATTACGGATTTGAACAACTTACATTGAAAAACTCGGTAAAATTACACAACAAAAATGGAACAACTGGCTGAATTGACTAAAGTATTACACACTAGTCTGCAGTTACAACAGCAACAATTGCAACACCAACAGCAACAACAACAATTACAGTGACAACTGTTACAGCAACAAGAAAAATTTGAAAAAAATCACAAAAAAAATTTTTCAAGATGAACTGATGCAATTATGAAAACAACAAGCAGAAGATACTAAGCTATTGTGTGAAACCGTAATATCTAAAACAACATAAGAACAGAGCTACAGATTCTTTTCCCCTGAAGGAATATTGAATTTGTTATCAGAATTCAAGTATGACCTGGACAGTGGAGTAACTTTCCCTTCCTATTTTCATAGATATGAGACATTTTTTCGAAAAGATATGAACAATGGTCTGAGGAGGAAAAAACTACGTTGTTAGTCTAAAAATTAGGTACAGAGGAGAACACTAAATACACGAACCTAATTTTACCTAAAAAGCCAGAGGAAATCTCATTCGAGGAGACAAAGATTTTGTCAGGAATTTTCAATGAAAGAGAGAGTTTGTTCCATACTTGATACAAGTGTTTAAACATTGTAAAACAAGAGAATAAAGACTTTGTGACTTATGCAGGCAATGTAAATTCACAATGTGAATTGTTTAAAATAAGCAACCTTTCAGTCAACCTGTTTAAATGTTTAATCTTTGTCCAGGGACTTATAGTGGCAAAGGACAAAGACATCAGGTCAAGACCCTGAAATTACACTACAGACAGTAACTGAGGAATGCCAAAGGCTGATAAATGTAACGAGACAATACACAGATCGAAGAAAAGAACATTTGAGTCCAAGCGATAAAACAGCTGAAATTTACAAAATATAAGGTGAAAACATCCCAGTGTGATGCCCGTGGAGTTTTTTTTTTTTTTTTTAAGGATAAGATTTGCTTCAAGTGTGGCTATATCAATAACAAAAGCTACCACTGTTGTTATAAACAAAAGAAATAGCAAAAATTTAAATCAGAAGTTAATGTTGTCTTATCCAAGAATAAAATTGAAAATTGTGAAAAAAGGAAATGCATAAATACAAAACTAAATGGTCATTCAGTGAAATTATTGTTGGATACTGGAAGTGACATTTCTATTGTAAATGAAACGAACATGGAAGAAAATAGGAGTACCAAAAAAATAGCCAGAGGAGTGTCTGGTAAAAGGACAAACTTCAGGGGCAAATTTAGCTGCAACGTATCATTTATGGAGAGGACTTTCAAATCAAAAGTTTATGTTCTTCCAGGTACAACGAATTTATTTGGTACAGATTGGATTGTGCTTTTTGATTTATGGGAATTACCTGTAAATTCATTTTGCAAACAAAGTGGATGTGTCAGTAAAGGAAAAATCTGAAGAAACAGAAAAATTTATTTCTGATTTGAAAAACAAATTTCCGGGCGTATTTTCTGAAGGTCTCTGTGAGTTCACATGATTCAGCAGAATGAAAGTGTGATCTACTTACCTCAGCCATACTGTTGGCCATTTTTGATGCCATTTTTAGATCCATTTCCTAAAAGTATTTCTTGTATATGTTCACTATTACTGGTGACAATGATGAACCCATAGTCAAGAAGTCTTCTTGTTGGTATATGTCATACTCTAATTGGAAGAAGGCTGTCTATATACAGAAAGTCAACCTTTCCATCAAATCTATTGGAATTCTTCTGAGGAGGGATCTAATTCCTATCAGTTTTGAACCACAGTCAGGGCCTCATCTGTAGGAACTCTGGTGAGGAGGCTTACCACATCCAAGCTTACCTTCTGATTGCTATGGATGGAAGCCTCTCAGATTAACTTAACAAAGTGTTCAGAGTTTCTAACATCGGACAAGGATTTTGTCTTTTTGGTTGATGAATTTAGTGATTTAAAACAGTTTTTCAGAATGTATCTCTTTGATTGGATTGCTTTAAAAATGCTTTGGTACTATTTTTTTCTTCAGTCAAACTTGCTCTGCCTGCTGAAAGCTCAAAAATAGGTTGTGCTTTTGATAACCTTATAGCTTTTCATCTTGATGCTCATTTGGACAACAAAGAAATAATATCTGGTGTATTTACTGATAAGTGGGCATAATAATAGTTTCTACAGGCTTTATCACAAATATGATCTGGTCATGATATGGTAATATACATTCAGAAGAAATCTTTAGTACTCAGAGCAACTACTCTAAGTCAAAATCATCTGACATCTATGGAATAGAACACGGAGACAATGGAACTTCATCCTTTGGAAGTGGGAAAAGCCTGATAATAATAATAGTGTTGATGACATAAAAATTAACATTTATAATGTGGTTTTACTACAATAGATATAACTTGAAGTTTTTTTATGATTGTCTAAAGTGGAAATAACTTAGCTTTTTAAACATGATTTTAAAAAGGTAAAGATTAAATTTGTGCTATTTTCAATTTATAGCAGAACTTGATATTTTCTTAATAACTTATTTGACCACTGATATTTTTTTACTTTTTATAAAGAAAAGCAATTTTTGTATCCAGCAAATTATTTCAGACTAATTTCCAAAACTGTTGTAAAAAAATTGTGTGTGTGTTAGAGTACTGAAACATTCTCAGTTCAACCAAGGAGCTTCCACTACCCAAATATGTTTTGGCAATCTGGTTGAGTCAAGAACTTTTCAGCACCCCCTTATATGTGTTTATGTGAGATATATTCACACATACACTATTGTTCATAATTAAATAGACCACATTGCTTGAATTTAATACAAATTGTTTAAATATATAAAAAAAATCTTATTTCAGAGATTTGGGCTAAAAATTTTTACTTTATTTTTGCTTTCAAATTGAATAATCTGTAATCCCTGCTTCTCTTATACACCCTTAAAACATTCACATTTAGTAAACCTCAACCTTGAGAGGCACTTGAGCCTTATATTTGAACAATTGTTAAGAAAAACAAAAGAGTAAGTATTTCAAATATAACTGTAATACACAGTTTAAGAATTATTGGTATATTTCAAAATTCATTATAGTTTTGATTTGATTTTAATAACTAAATCATATTTCAGGTTTGAAAATTCGAACGGTTAGCTGCAAGACAACGTTTGAAGGCATGTACCATTTCACATATGAAATCAATGAAGGAGGTGGTGGTATTTGTAACAGCAAAGATAGTATCATCAGAGCTTGTCAGGAACCTGGCTCCCCTTATGTGGACAATCAGCTGTTTTTAATGACTTATGGAAAATGTAGAGGTGTGACAAACTCCAAATTCCAACGTAAGTAACCATGAAATTCATTTGTGTGCATCCTGGTTTTCTACATTTTGACAAAGGAAAAGCTAACAAGGTTGAAAAGTATTTTTATCAAATAATCTATGCACTTCATAGTAAAGTAATACAGCTTTCAAAGAGATTATCAGACATTTAAACACTTGTGATTTTTGTTGTTCTCACAGTGTTTTAGCCAATTTATTCTAAAAACTTCTTTCGATCTACTATCTGTATAATAACAATAAAAATCACACACACACAAATAATTCAGTTATCTTAAAATATTTTTGAACAGTGTGACACTATTTAGCTATGGTAATTGGCTAACTAATTAACCATAGAAATTGATAACAGGAAATACTTAGGGCGAGAGGGAGCTATACCGAAAGATAGACTGAGCGAGATTAAAGAGAAGAATTTATTTACAAAAGAAAGATACTTTTTTGCAAAAGACAGAGAGTCCGTAGGAAAAAGCAAGACTGTGATTCTGTCAAAATTAAGGTCACGATAAGGGGGGTGACACGCCAATATAAACAGAATTCAGATAGAAAAACGGGGCCAGCCGATGCATGAGGCCGTGGAGAAAATTTGGCTTGGGACAACCCTGGAGAATAGCTATTAATTATCTTTTAACTTTAATTCCTGATTTCAGCAAGGGAAGCCATCTGGTATATGACAAAATCCAATACCACAAAATAATCAGTTCAAATCAAAAGATTTTTAAAATGCAACTGTTCGCTTTCAGAACAACTAAATACAAACTACGGCAATACACAAAAGAATGACATTTGATACTATGGTCTTAGAATGAATGTTTTCTTGTTTTCATTGTGGCAAACTGGTCAATGACATTGTCAAAATCTGTTTGTCTTGTAAGCTCGTTTTCAATGGACCGCACAGCCAGATCTGACAGTCTCGACTGGCTCATGGTTGACGTAATTTTCTGTTGCTTATTTTTTCGGTGTCCAATTTTCCGTTGCATCATTTTCTGGGTACCATTTAATTATCAATGATGTTTGAAAGTATTTTTCTTGACAAAAATGTTCTATTCATTTTTTAAGCATTTTTCAGAAGATTGTAAATCAACTGCATTCTTTTAAAGGTTACCTAGAGAATTTATGCAAAGTTTATTTTTTTGTTTTTCTTTATACAAGTAAAATAAATTTACATCGTATTTTGATGTTATTATGATTTTAGTTTTGTGATAATTTAAAAATGATAAATATTTATCATTAGTACCAATAATAGAAAATTAAGTTAAAAATTTAAAAGAATCGTTTTTGGAATCGGAAAATAGGGACAAATTTTTCCGATACCCCAAAAAGTTCTGATTTTTCTGATTCTCGATTTGATTAATCGTCCCAACACTAGTAGATATATTGAAAAGTATATCGCTCACTCAATGGAAAATTGTATCTCAGCGAATTGATACACAGGCAAGACTGAAATTGTTGCACTTTTGGCTTCGTATTTCGCTTTGTTGTTATTAATGATGCAGAGTTAAAACACCATATCATCCGATAAAATGTTACAGCAATGTCTCTTGTTAGTAACCAAGATTGTAGCAACTGAAACACATGAAAACTGAAAACATTGCTATTTTTCCTACTCACAAATTTCCCGACAATTTATTAGAAAATTTCTGACAGGGGAACAAAACTGGGGGATCATAAATTATTTCTGGAGAGTCATATGCCCACCTGCGAAACCCTGTGTCTCCACCACTGTTTTCAGACTATTTTTGGCACCTTAGCCTGGTTGAAAAATTTTGTTGGGGGGTGACATTGTGTCACCCCCTCCTGTGCTGGCACCCGGGGCGGTCCTCCCCCCTCGCCCCCCTAGCTATGCCACTGCCACCAATAAAAATCTTGTTGGTATTAAATAACCCATTGAGGTTGATATGCCATAAAACAAAATAAACCAAACAAAACCATCTACAGATGTCTTTCTTTAATACTTGTGAATTGTCATACATTCTTGGGAAAGAAAGTAGGGTTATTTCCTGTTGACTTCTCTATAGTTTGGAACTGAGTTTTTTACCCAATGCAAGAGAGCACACACAGTCCACCCTGCTATTTAACCTATAGCTGGTGGAAGAGGAGATGGATTTATATCTTTTTCAAGAGCATTTGTGAAAAAGTGAGTGCAACAGACTAGTTTGGAATTTAATCTCTACTCACTAATTCCACTTTCCATGGAAAGATTTTGCAGAGGATATATCTGTTTGGATCTTGCATTCTTTCATTGACAGAGAAGCAACAGCTTAGTGATATTATAAGGCATTGCTGGGACACACCAGTTTAGTGATTTAAGCCACCAAATCAGAGTTGGTATCTGATGAAAACTTAGACACTATTGCTGTTTTTGAGATTAGGAGTTTAAAATCTTTGAAAATAATTGTGTTGAAAGTAATTGTTATTTTCCTGTTCAAATAAAAAAAATTGTTTTCAACTTTTAAATGATATTTAAAGGCTGAAAACCCTGAAACTATTTTTCTGTTCAAAGAAAAAAAGCATTTCATTGAAATAGGCCAATATATGAACATTGAAGATAGCAAATAAAAATGCTCATAGTGTTCCTGAAAAAGCAATTAAAAGAAATTACATCCTTTTGAAAGAAAAAAAGTATGCTTTGCTTTTAGCCAACAATATGAAAAAGGAAACCAGGAGAAATGCATTTATTTTGTATTTCATCATTTTAAAAATGATCGTATATATGACTGAGAAGCAGATAATTCACTTGTTTTTATATTAGAAGGTGACTTAACCTGCACAAAATACAAAATACTAGACAAAATATATTCAAATTGTTCTCTTGTTGTCCCTCAATGACATTGCCCAAGGAGCTTAGAATAAGTTTAAGAGGAAGAACTACTCATGAATTCTCTCAATAAAATTTAAATTAGCAGTAGTATTTGTTTTATTGATATTAGATGAATCATTATTATTAGTTTTTGACTAATATTTGCATACATTTTAATTTTTTAGTAGCTTTTTACCTTCAGAATTGAGTAGATGGTGCAGGATCACAAATAAGTGTACTGTAAAAAACAACTAAAGAATTATGAAAATAAATACTAATTAATAATAAAGTGTATACTAATCTCAACAAATTCAAAATTTGAATATTGTAGAAAAACTAATTTTCTTCCATTAAAACTGGTATCTTAAAAAATAACAAATAGCTCTGTATTATATTTAAGCTATTGTCTTAAAGATAGTTTACACTAAGTGGATTTAGACTCAATCTACAAAATATTATTTTTATTTCTCTACTATCCTCCTTTTTCTCTCACTCTTTCATTTATTTACCACATTCATTTTCTTTCTGTCTTGTTTACTTTCCACCAATGTTTTTCACCATCTCTTGTTTTCTTTCCCATTACGTTTTTTCCCCGTCTCTGGCTGGCTTGCTTTCCCTCAGCGTTTTTTCTTGTCTCTGGCTTGCTTGCTCTATTCTTTTGATTTTTTTTTTAGTCTGTCTTTTTTTTTCTCTCTCTCTCTCTCTCTCTCTCACACCTGCTTCTCTTTTTCTTACTTCCCTCCATCCTTACAAATGACTAAATCTTTCTTCTCTCTTAACCCTCTCCTTCTTAAACTCTCTTTACCTTTCACATCTTAATGTTCCTCATCTTTCTCTTTTCTTCCTCTGCCATATGATTAACAATTTTAGCTAAGACAAATTTTAATTGATGTTAAGATAAAAGATAAAATGGTTTTCAAATATTTTTCTTCTTCAGAGTTCCGTTTTCAATGTATGGGGAGTTGGTATGGAGATGATGGCTTCATGTATGCTGGTATTGCTAATACTGTAGCCAATGAAGATCGAGCCAGATTTAAATGTTTGGTAAGAAAACATTTCAATTTTCTTGTTATTTTAGCACACTGCATTATCAATATTATTTCCCTTTCTACTGTTTTCTTTTTCAAAGCCTTTCAATTGCATTATCCTTATTGCTATACATAGAAATAAATTCAATTACAACTTTGATCTAAAGAATGCCACACTTATTAAAAGAGAAACTAAGTAATGTAGACAGAAAATTCTTGGGAATGCCGTTATCATAAGAACTACTTAGTTTCTCTTTTAATAAGTGTGGCATTCTTTAGATCAAAGTTGTAATTGAATTTATTTCTATGTATAACTAAAGCAACTATCATGATAATAACACCTTGCCGTGATGGATGGTTATGCATTGCTCAATGACTGAGAGCAATGCTGTTGGGAGTTCTAAACTCCTGGTAGTGTCACCTTTGGTGGGAAAGTCGAAAATGAGGACTCAGAGAAAGCATGACCAACTGCAAAGATCCCAACAGTGGAACAAGCAGATTATGATTACAACAGATCTCAAGGGTTGAACCAGCTGATGAAGAGGGCTATGCATGAAGGACATGCTACAGAACACGCCACTCAAAATTATGACAGTCAGTGGCAGTCCATTGCAGTTTCATAACTGGGTTCTGCATGTCTCATTCCATATGTGCTTCAGGGGAAAGTCATGAAATCAAGTGTGTGGGTCACTTCCTATCAAGTTATGGTCCACCTTAAAAGAAATTCACACCATAGGCACTTTCTTCTACACTGGCTTTGTTGGAGGTGAAAGAAAATCAAACCATGATAGGAAATAGATGACAGGGGCAGGTTTTGGTGAAGCTTCTAGTCCTGAACCTGCATGTTGACAGCAAATTTAGTCATCAATACCATAATCATAAAGGAAGCAATCTGCAAAGAAAAAATTAAATTCTTGGGTATGAGATAAAGCCGACCAGGTATAACTAATGCATTTTATATATTGCTGTGTATAAGATCCCTTTTGTGTTCATAGATATATAATGCCCACATTGAACCTTGTCAACAGCGACCAATAATGTAACACTTGTCATTGGCTCTAGACAGCAGTAACTAATTATGTCACCCAGTTGTTGATCCTCAAGTTCCTTCAGACCATCATTAGCACGTGGCTCATTTTGTCGCTGGTTTCATGTTGGTGGTATGGTTCCACTTGACTAGCTGGCATTTGTCTGTACATGACCATTCACTTTTCTGCCCCATTGTTTTTTTTTTCATCTCGGAGGGTGAAAAGATTGTTGCTGAAGCAAACTGAAGTGAAGACGGTTTGACAATTTGGGAGCTACACAAAATAAAAGAAGAAACCTTTGGAATAAATAATTAACTCCAGTTAAAAATGTAACAACAATTTAGTTTATATAAGATTTGTTGTATACAGCAGTTTTAAGCCTCCCCACTTATTATAATCAAATGGCACTGGGATCCCCTTCAGAGTCTGAAGCTTGTTTTAGTAGTAAACTGGTCTTCATGTCTAGTACAAGGTCTTCATTCAGGATGTCTCTGTGAACAATGCTGATTCCAGTGTCTCTCTCTCTCTCTCATGTTCTGTCTCCTGTTATGATGTTGCAATCCCATCCTCAGTCATTGGGTGAGTCCATGGTCATTCCTTATGGACAGCCTTGGGGTTGGTTGCTTGATCTTCAATTCCCACCCTGCTCACGTATTTGTTTTAGATCACAGGGCAGGTGAAGGCCAAGTTGTACACTCAACATCACTGATCCGGTAGCTTTGGTGAGATGACTTTACAAGGAACAAAGTAAGAGACAGCTGTGTAACATAACTTTATATCAAAAGTTCATACAATGAATATTCTACTCACTAGATTAACAGCATGCATCTTTTCAGCATCTTCTCCCTTAATACCCCATGACACTATGTCTAGCCATGCTCACTAAACTGGTACAAAGGTTAAGTCTGATTTCTTCCACTCTGTGATTTCTTCAGTCTGACCTTTCAGGTGTATTTTGGTAGTCTGGAACAAGGCCGGAGTCTTTCTGCAGAAGTTGCGCAGGGTTTGGTAAAGTGAGTCTTGAACCAACTGGCATGTGTCTTTATGGCAACCCAATTTAAGTTGTGTGCTTCCTTCTTTTCTTAATACACCGAACTGTTTCTCACTTTACTCATCTGTATTTATGGACCTTCACACAAAGCATGAAGTGGTCAGGAAATTGATTACCTGACAAAATTTGGGGAGATCTCACCCCGAAGAGTAGTGGTGACAGATTATCAATCCACCAACTTCTCACCATAAACACCTAAAGGGTGCAGGCAATTCTTCTATCTTCCTTGAAATTCCACCTGGGCTTTTTTCCTCTCTCTTTGTCTCCTGATCAACCTGTACCCTGAGGCTAGATGTCTAGCTCAAAGTGCTAAATTCAATTATCATCTAAAATTTCCATTTTGGTTAGAATCTGATATTCATTACCTGTCGCTTCTCCATGCCAGCTTTTTGGACAAGTGACAAAAAGAGACAATTCCTCTTAATAAATTTTATTGTGTCTTAGGCAGATGAAGAAAAAATATATTATAACTACAATGCCATTCCTGTTTTCCAAGTCCTATCAGCTGACCAAATTCTCTCCTATTCTTTCTTTGTCTCTCTTTTTGTTTGATTAATCTCTGGAGATCTCAGTGTCACATTACTTACCCTTGCCCCTTTGTCATTTACTTGTAATTGATACCCAAGATCCACCTTCCCTTTTGGTGAAGCTAAATGATTTCATGCAAAAAAATTTCCACTAAACATGCAGTGGGGATAAAAATTAATTCTTTCCTTTGTTATCATGCATCTGGATATATCATGGCCTGGTTCCATAGAATGTCAGCATTTCTTCATGGCATAGTTGGAGGAGAAATGACCAAACTGTCCACACACCCAACAATTTGTATTTCTGTTTTATCAGGGCCATTCTGCCACTTACAGCTCTTGGGTTGGACCCTTGTGCACCTTCCTGATTCTGTTGCTCGGTGGTAGGGTGTTCTATTTACTGGAGGCCTTCCCCTTGAGGACCTGCACCACTCAGCTTCATGTCCAAACTGGCTACATTTCATACAATTTGGCCCTGCCCATTCTGGAGGTACTCCACTCCTGGTTAGACAATTCTCTGATCTATGATCTTCATACCCGCACTGCCAACAAAGAAGGTCATATCTTCCAGGTGTTGGTGTGAAGAGACCACTGCTTTCTATAGGGATCAGCTTCTTCCCCACCAATTCTCAGAGTGCCTTGGATAGTTTTGCTGTTCCTTTGTTGTACTTGGGGTCCTTCTATGTGTATTGACCTTGCACCCCCTCTCCCCCGGGCATTAAATAGACTTTGGCTCTCACTCTTTCCTCTAATTCTTTCCCTAAGATTTGTACTCATTATGCTCTTTTTTTGCTTCTGTTGAGGTTCTCGATATTTTTTATGAGGTTCATCATATTTTTAAATTCCTCAGTGATCCAAGCAACTTCCACTCCATTCTATTCTTATATCTTTTGTCATCTGATCAGAGTTGAGCTTAGATTCACAGGTACACACCCTTGTAAACTAATCAATAGAACTTCAAACCTATCACCTGGCAAGGTGCAACAATCGGCACAAGAGAAAAAAAAAAAACAATAGGGAAACCAAAAGTGTCATTCGTCCTTATCTATCAGCTTGCTCCATGCTGAGGATCTCTAGATCAATCAGGCTACTCAAAAATTAAAGAAAGGAAAATTTATTTCCATTCTCCCTTAAACAATTTTTATCTTTTCTCTGTCTTATGCATTTTTTTAAATTTTTTATTTATGATCAAATAGACCATCCAGCTTTCTTGTCCACGGTTACTTCAAAATAGTAATTAATTTTTTTCTTACCACTTGTATCCAAAGAAATCAAAATTAATGTTTGGATATAAATTTTTTTCTGGACAAATGTCACTGAAATTATAATAATGAGTGTGTGGGGATACTTTTCTTCTGGGTGTTTGATTCAAAACGGATGTTTTTTTTTCTTTGTCCAGAGAAATAGGGAATGTTATTTCAGTGACCACCTGAATTTCTCTATTAACAACAATATTTTTATTTTATCTGACATCTTTGCAGATACCTTAATGGTCTGTCTCTTTTTTTTTTTTTTTTTTTTTTTTGGTGGGAGGTGGGGAAGGATGGCTACTCTTGGGTTTACTCAATCTTACTGAATTTCATCCAGTTAAATTTGGGTAAACCAAATTTTTGTCTATAAAAATTATTATCAAAGATGAAAAAAAAATTGATTAGTGATTAACTGGTACATTTTTATAATTTTATATATAAGAATAGATAATTTTATTTTTAGTTTAGTGTGATTTTAATAAATTTCTTTACAGGGACATTTGTGTATAAAGATTTTACAGGATATGACATAAATACTGTTACAAAAGAAAAAGCTCATGATTCCTGAAAAATTTATATCAGTATACAATTTTAACACAAAATATTAATCTGCTAAATGACACCAGAAAATATAATTCAGTATAGTTCCCTTTAACCTTTACCACATGTCGAAGTCTTTTGAGAAATTCATTGATAGCAGCCTGCAAAAGTTTCCATGGGTATTTTATGCTATGCTCTCTTCAATTTTGCCTTCAGAGCTTCAATATTGTGGTGTAGAGTAGAACAGACCTCACTCTGAAGAACTGTCCACAAACAATTGTCAAGAGTGTTGATACCTGGTGATGAGTTATCTATTTGTCCTTGGTGATGAAGCCAGGACAATTGTCTCTGCACCACTGCTGTGTTACATGAGCAGTATGGTTTGTTGCTCCATATTGGTGGCATTGCACCATGGCTTGAGTGCACCTTCCAAGATATTCTCTATGCACACTTCCTTGTTGATCTTTACCCCTTGAGGCATAAAAACAAAAGGAGACTTTTCTGAAATGGCTGCTCAAACCATAACTGATGCTAGTTTCTGGGTTCTGAGACATTTTCCTGAAGCGACAGGAACTTTCTAGTAACTTGTTGAAAGAACACATTCATTTTGATGAATAAAAGTCCCGTTCAACAGTGAACAGTTTCTTATCAGTGAAGATGTTTTGTAGTGTGCCATCACAAATCCATTTCAGTAGCTGCTTCTTTGAAGCTTCTTTTAAATTGTGATTGCTGAAAGAGGCTTTCTCTTGGTTATCTTGTAGTGGCATGTAATTGCCTTTGCCTTTTGTCTGACTTGTTTGAGAGAACTGACAACTGCATGAAGTATGTCCAAGGCTTTTATTTGTCAAAACATACTATTGCAGCAGTGAAAACTGCAAATAATTAAAACAAAGACATTAACAAGCATACAGATACAAAATATCATTAAACAAACATGCAAAGAATATCGCAACAATACTTACCAAAACCACATGTGGCACACAGAAATGGCAAAAAATGTGAAAAAGTACTCAAAATGCAAAGGAGAGGAATATTTATGTTAATATATGTCATGTGTATAACACAAATGACTGATAGCTAATATCTTCTACAATTAAGGCATAAAAAAAAACTTACTTTTTAAATTTACTACTAAATACATTATGTGTAAGGAAATAAGATTTTGAGAAAAAAAAAGTTTTCACTTTATCAGAAAGTAAAGTGTAAAAATAGTAAATTTACAATTTAGTAAAAAAAAAAAACTCAGAGTGTGTTTAAAGTAAAAAGAAATCTTATTTACCTTGTTGGCAAGTAGGCAGAAAGCAAATTAAGGGGGATAGGGTAGCAAAAACAAAGAAAAATACTGACTGAGGTATCTTCTAATATGTCTGGCTCCAAGAGACTAACATGTCTCCTGGCCAGAGTCTGACTCCAAAAAGGCTTGGTTAAACTTGAATTGCTGCTATATAAGGGTGTGAAGGAATAATGGTAAACAGGAAAGTCCAACAACTTAAAAAATAATTTAGGTCACCTTACCATTCTATCCAAATTGTGTAAACAAAAAAAAAAAAATTGCTGTCAACATACCAATTTATAAAGCTTGTATTTTGCTTTATAAGAAAAACAAAATGGGAACTACTTTGTTTTGGTGTTAGGGTCCTTTTTTTATTAGTGAACTAGACTGTCACTACAGAAATTTGGAAAAGGTATTGAAAAGCACCTGTTTCTTTATCCAAAATCAAAATAACTGGCAACAGCCACAGGGCAGCATCCCTAGATCATTTTGACATAGCCTCCACATGGTTCTTGCTGCTGTTCTGGCCTCCTGAGTCAATGTTCTTATTGACTTTCTTGTATTATGCCTGATTTTTTTCATGCACATGTTTAATGAGTTCTGGAGGTGTGAGGACATCCTCGTCTCTCTCTATTTTTGATAGAAGAAGTCTTATTGATTGATTGTCCTTTTGATAAACATTTTATTGATTGAAAATTGCTTTCTAGCTTTAAAAATTCCAGGTGGAGTCAGTCCCTTTTCATGTTGCTCAATTATATACTTTAATTTCTAGAAATATTGTTGCCATTAAATACTAAAACACTTTGAAAAAATAGTATACATTGTTGGTTGATTATCAAATCATAAACAACATTGTAATGACTAAAAATTTATAAGTAGAATTCCATTGAAATTTTGTAACAGCATTTATGTCACACCCTGTATATCTAAACTAGTCATATTTGTTTTTGACATCTGTTTTTTAATTTATTTAAAATATCACTAGTGTTTTTTTTTTCTTTTTTTTTTATATGAGGAGCTAATTGTACCTAGAAGTGGGTTTAAAATTTTGATACTATGATTTAAATTTTGGTTTTACATAGACATACGTAATCTACAAAAAAAAAAATAAAACTGCCAAACTGGGTTTAAATTTCAGTTGAGTCTGCTTTTGTTTTCTCCCTTAGTCTTTAGAAAAGGCAGGGATTCCTATCCTTGTACTCTGTCCCATTGATAGAGCTTGACAAAAATTTTGTTGCTAGTATGTTGGGTTAATTGCCAGGAAAAGTAGAGTAGTTGTAATAATAAAAAGCTGTTATACCTATTGACAGATGCAAGTAATAAATGGAAAAATTGATAGGTATTTCTTTGATTTAAGTAAATCAGACTTAAAAAGAACTGAGGATAAGGTTCACTTTCAATGTCCTTCAAGATCAGTCTACCATGACAGCTCCTTTGTAAATGTTGTAAGCAGCACTTAATAGTGATTTCTTTTTAGATCAGTTTATTGGCACATTAAATGTACACAAAGAAGTTATCAAGTTATGAAAATTATCTTGATATGAGTCAGGATGATGGATTTTTGAATGTGATAGATTTTACCATTCACTTTGAAACAGTAAAACGATTTAGAGTTGAATCAGCAAAATCTGTTCAAGAAGAAAGAGCTTTTAATTGGACATGCTATTATTCTATCTCAGTTTGCTCATTAACTTATGCAAATATTGAAGGAAATTTACTGCAAGAGGACAACTTCATCTTTGTGACAACTGCTGGCAATGAATGTCCATTTATCCAATTATATTACTGATGTTCACTTTCTTGAAATTTTATTTTGCCTTCTGAAACTTCTCTGAAAGCAACAATCTTGTCAACTTCTATTAATTATGGCATATTTTGTGTTGAAAAGCAACAAGCACTTGCTTATTATATCAGAAAGTGCTTTACAACCATATGAAAACGTTAATTCAAGCCTTGTGAATGGGATTTAGTTGACAAAGCTGGAAGTTGTTGATGACTTAATGCAATCAATGAAGTTACAAGTCATTGTGACTGAGTGTTTGAGTATACTGGCCTTGTTCAAGCTGTTGATCATGTTAGATTATGGGGTCTCTCCCAGAAACTGTGACTAATATATGCTCAGCATATATTTGAGGGTGAGCAGCCAATTCCTCTCTCTCTCTCTCTCTCTCTCTCTCTCTCTCTCTCTCTCTCTCTCACACACGTGTGTGTGTATAATATTCTCGCACTTCTTGCTTGTGGAACTCCCTTCCAGCTCTATGCTTTTCAGCCAACTTTAATCTTCAAAAAATTAAATGCAATGTCATTTGCTATCTACTGTCCTCCTGATTACTCTTCTTTTATTTTTGCTCCTTGTAATGTTTGTTTTTAATTCTTCCACATCCAGTAACCCCTTGTGTGATGGTGGCTTTGCTGCCTTGCATAGGGTGAACTTGATTTAAAAAAAAAAAAATAACACACACACACACACACACACACACACACACACACAGCATGAATCTCAGAGTAGCAAATTTGATATTATTGTATTAATAATACATATTGTGTGCACATACCTAATACACACTGATATATGAGAAACACTTGGCTTTTTTTTTGCTGGAAGGACATAAAAGCAAAATAAATTCCCAATGAATAGCATAAATTTTCATGATGTTAGTTTCAATGTCTCTTCAGTACTGCATGAGATCTTAATAAAAATATTTCATCACTTCATGGTGTTCCTTTATATAAAAAGAAAAAAAAAGTATGTTTTGGTTTCAGTAGACTCTGACATCAGCATGTAAAGTAGCTGAAAAAAAAAAACAATAGCTTTGCTAAACTGTAACCAATATTTTGGGCTCTCACTACTTGAAAGTCTCACTAAATCTTTAATAGGTGGCTTTTTATGTGAATGGTCATGTTTATAGTAAAAATTTTCTCATCATTTGTTATCTTGATTCTACTCACAATATGATGACTGGGATTACAAGCCAGTGTAATGTCTAATTCTTGTTACAATAATCTTCTTTTCATGTTATGCTGTGAAAATGGTTGTATGCTCCACTTTCCAACAACAAAAAGTTAAAATTTTGAACCTATTTCTTGTTTTGAATTCATTTCAACAAACTTTTTTTTATGATTTACAGTTAACCAAAAAAGATCAGAATCCAACAGACAACAAATTTTTATGGGTAAGGTCTCAATACTCTGAATGTTCTCTGCTATCTGGTATTTATGAAGGTTACGAGAGGCTTGTTGTCCAGCCAGGTAGGTTTGAGGCTTCTATAATTATTTTAAGTTGTATCTTAATACTTTCAGTGTCAATGTATATTTTCAACTGACATAGGCCAAAAATTCAAAAGTAGGTAGGTATTCCCTGAAGATTAAATAAAATTGCTGGAAAGCAGGTATTTGTCACAGCAATATATGGAAGATAAAATGAAGACAAGGTGCAAATGTCAAAAAGGGAACATTACATAATGTTGTTTGGTTCTTCACAGGTAAAGTAGCAAAAATGTTGTCACTGAAAGTGTTATGGCTTCATTGTTTTTTTTATATTTATTTCTTTATTTAATTTTTATTATAAAACTTAAGTTGTATGCTTGTAAGGAATTAATAATTGGATAAAAATAACAGTATATGTCATTTAATAATTTTTGTGTTTATTTACAGTAATTTATGAAACATAACTTAGTTTAGGCAAATGGGAGAACCTGGTGAAGATTGAACTCTTTACACAATAGTAATGGTCTTGTAGTGTTTGTGAAAAAAAAAATTTTTTAAATTCAATGGTAGAGTAATGTTGTTTTACATTATTTTCAGAAGTGTCTATTTTAAATTGAATGCTGAAATTCACTGATTTGGGTAGTGTCGTAAGACCTGATAGAATATGACATACAAAAATCCAAAATGTTCAAAGCAAAGGTGAAAAATACTTTTCAGTTAACTGACCAGGTATTAAGGGATTGAAAAAAAAATAACATGAAATGAAGAAAAAAATTGTTGGACTACTATTGTCATTCTTACAAAATAGTGATCTTTAAAAGCTTCAGCAACATGATTTCTGATTTGTTGTAAATGATGTGTGTAGGACAAGAAAAGAGTTTCAAAAATGGTGAGACACTAATATTCTTTGGTAAATTAACAGAAAAAGTAGTATCCTTTGGTGCTGAAAATGTGAATTTTTTTTTCATTTTTTTTTAATGAAGCATACATTTTCTCATTGGAGAATTTTAAAACATTACTTTTGATATACCATTTCTACTGGTATTCCATATTTGCTTTTCTCTCCTTGACCCCTGAAAGAGTCAATTCAAAGGTGACTTGTATATGTTCAAGTCAAACTTCTCAGTGTTATCTCCCCTGCTGATTTGTGCCAACATTAGTATGTTGTATTAAGATATTCCACACTGCAGTTATATAAAATTTTGGATGCAGAGATATACAAAAGATTCAACTTCATATCAGCTGATAATATTGAATATTTCTTAGTTTGGAAATCAAAGTTAAATATTAATTTATGGAATAGTTTCAACTTTGTATATAGGGTAGTGGGTAATTTTTTTTTTTTTTTTTGATTTGTCACTTCTTTTTTTTCTCTATCCTTTTTGATTTTATTTTTGTTTTTTCAGTCCATTTTGTTTTTCCTTTCAATCTGTCTTAGTTTCGTTTTTGTGTGTATGGAGAATGTTGGAAATGTTATCGAATATCTCCTGAAATATATTTCTATATTTTTGATTGTTTTTCGGGATTTTTTTTTTTTTTCTCAGATCACTTTTGTGAAGAAAATCGAAATGAATCTAGTTGAGATAGATCCATTTAAAGTAAAGGAAAAGGAACATCTAATTCTGTTATTTTCTTTTCAGTTCCCCCTGTGACATCATATGTGCAGCCTTCTTGCAATTTGCCAACAAATCTGACAGGGACCTGGTATCATGTTGGCGAATACGACAGTGATGTAGTAATTAATGACACCCACATTTATTTCAAAACCAAGTTTGATGAATTCAGCTATGAAGAACAATATTTTTCCTGTCAACAGACCCTTGGAACTCGTTATTTGATGACTAAGATTACAGTGGGCAAATGGTTTGTAAACAAGATCTTGACTTTGACTAATATATTTACTAAAGTCAAATGACTGAGAATGAAACAAAGGAAATTGTGATATTTTGATTCATTAGCATTACAGGGGGGTGCTGAAAAGGTCTAACTGGCTCACTTCCCAAATTACTATGCTTTTTCTTTTGCTGAATGGTTCAGAATAGGCCAAAATTGAAATTTTTTCAGTACTTCTTCCTATTTCACTAATGTTTGAATTCATTATTCATTCTTTGTTTTGAATTCTTTTGACAGTTTCATAGTATGAGGGACAGGGAAAGATATTTAACTAAACTTTTATCTTGATTCACTGTAGAAAGGACTCTTAAGATTATGGCTTCACTATTTAAATAATACTATATTGTCAAATGTTTTTTTTAAAACTGATTTTGCTTATCTGATCAAGTTGAATATAAACTGAAGCTGGGCCTTAAGTGAATAAATATAAAATAGGTTCTGTCTTTATGAGGCTAGACCTAAAAGACCCTAGCCAGGCATATAGTTATTAGCTGAATTTTTCACTGCATAATGCTTGATGTTCGTGATTCATTTTCACCACTAAATAAAATATATTTCTAAAGAAATATTTTGTTGTGAGTGTATATAGATTCAGGTAAAATGAGAACAAATGGAGTATGATTCCACTATACATAACATTTAAGTTAAAAGATGGCTCAATACATAGTAGAGTTAAATATTGTTTATTTTAGGATATTAAAACATGTTCAATGTCCACTTTTATATTTACATATGCTCTATCCCTGATATTGAGCACTTTAACCCATAAATATAGCATACCTTAAAACTATATTTTATATATATATATATATATATATCACACATCACATGAATATCATCAACTAAAACTTTTAAAAAAAATAGTATAAAAATAAAAATTTTTTAATGGTAGATTTTAATTTAAGCCTTTTATGTTAATGTGTATTATCAATTAAATTTTTATTTAACATGAAATAGAAAAAAAGTTTAAGAATTGATTTGGAAAATAAAACTATTACACACACACACACACATATATATATATATATATATATAAAAGATGCTTACCTAAATTCCTGATCACTAACAAACTATTGCCTTGCTCAAATAAATTTTTAGTCAGAAATTGCAAAATTTGGCAGTTCACTCATCTGATTCCACACTTAAAAAATAAAATAATTTTATCTTTAATTCTTAGAAATTCTGCACCTGTTTCACTATATTCTCAGAATATTCATTTGTTGTCTGACTCAAAAAGTGCATTGTAGAACTGTAGGTCAATATTCCAACAGTTAGAATTTACCAATTTGAGGTTCCAGTTCCACTCTGAAAACTTAAAATTTGCTCCTGGTTGAGAACCACAAACATTGATTGAACTGTTTCTATTTTCATTTTAATTTCTTTCTAAGGTTTGGTTGTATAAAATTTCTGTTGATTTTGGTTAATAGTCATTGTTTTATTACAATTAGTTATGTATCCATCTCTCAAATATTTCAATTAAATCAGTCAAGTACAAAATCAATGGACAAGAAGCTGTACAGATTTAAGTTCTGAAATTAGATGAAGTAATACTTATCACAGTCAGTTATGTGTCATGTGTGATATACACTTAGGTGATCATGTATCTTCAGATACATGACTGACAAGGCACATTTTTTCCTGCAGTTGGTTGCCATTTATTTCTGTGGTAGACCAGTTGCAATCCAAGGCTATAGAACCCGGTCTGTCCTGCTATTTACCCATAGCTGGGGGGAGAAGAGGAGGATTCATACCTTTCAACTGAAATTTGAACTCGGCTCTCCATTTCCTCAATCCGAGTTGCTATCCATTATTCCACCGTGCCTACTTACCTCATGCTCACTAAAAAAAAGAGAAGATTTAAAAAAAATAGTGCCTTTATTTCAACTATTGGGTTAACTTTGCATTTGAAATTTTGTTATTTTTTAATATTAATATATTTTTCTTGTATATACTTGATGTGATGTTGTGAGAAAATTCTCTCACTTCATTCCCTTGTTGAAATGCATTGTTTTTCTTAAAATTCTTATTTCTCTAATTCACTCTTCAATGACTAATAATTTTTGGAATAATGCAGAATTTCCATTTCAGTATTCAAAAAATATTTTCTCTCTAATGTTAGATTTAAAAAAATTCATTTTTATTTCCTTAAATTATGAAATTAAAGGTTTTATTTTTTTGATTTACACAAATCTTTTCATTTGAAAATTTTGATAGTCATAAAAACAAAAAGCAATGATATTTCTCACAGATATTATCTAAATACAATATGATTGGTCCTGACTTGGGGTCTCAACTAATCACTTTCTCACAGATGTGATGTGGCTTTCCTCTGTCTTTTCTATAAATATTTTTATGGCATCTGCTGTAATGAGCTATTTTCACTGGTGCCCCAACTGCATGAATTTAAGCGTGCTACGAGGTTGTTGTCTAAGTCTCACCCTTTTACTGTGAAAACCATTAAATGTAACCACCTCTTCTACCCCAAAAGCTTCTTCTTCTCACACTTCCCAACAGTGGAACTCCCTTCCTCTTACTTGCTTCCCTGATAATTATAATCTTCCAAAGTTTAAGTAATGTCAATTGACATCTTCTGATGCCTTGATTCCTGTTCTTTTTATCCTATACCCAGTTTTTCCCTTGCTTACACTCTCTGTAGCCCCTTGTATACTAGTGGCACTCCTGCCTTGCTTGGGGTGAAATGCTTAAAAAAAAAAAAAAAAAAAAAAAGAATTGCCAAAATTAACATGCAAAGGAAATCTACAATTGAAAACTTTATAATTAGGTTCTGTTATAGACTTGCTAAAGAAACAAAAATAAAATCAGTTTTTTTCTTTTTAAGTTTGGTTTTATTTGAAAGATAATAGCTTAAAGTTAATCCATTTGAAAGGAAAAATAAATTTCTATATGTAAAGTTTATAGGCATTTTTAAAATGTTGGCAAGTTCACTCATCCCTCAAACCTATGTTATTGATGAAAAGTATAAACAACAAATTTAAAAATCCAATATTTGATCAGTTTCAAAGTGGATTAGTAAATTTAAGGATTAATTAACTGGATTTTGTAACTTTTTTTTTTTTTTTTTTTTTTTTTTGTTATCTTTATCACAATGTTTAGGCTATTCTAATTTCTGATCTTCCTCAGATGTCTTTCACCTTTGTTCACTTTCAGGAATGTCAAACAGAATAATTTAATTCACAGAAGAGATGTTGTACCTTTTATCTGTCATATCCATTATCTTTCCTGGACAAGTTCATGGTTTATAATTGTCAGTTCTTCCTTGTGATGTTACTCTGCTTTTACACTAATCTAATGTATGTCGTTCTAGATGATCTAACTCAGGGACTGCAATGAACTCTTGATTCCCAGTGAACTAGATGAGCATTTGTCTACAAGACTGCACTTATGAGATTTAAAATTTCCTCAGAAATGTATGAGACATTACAAATAAAAGAATGAGAACATCATACTCATTTGACCAAATAAAGATTAAAAATTCTTGGATTATTACTAAATGTGAGGGGCACCCAAGTAAAGCAAGTGGTTATTTGAAACATTGCAATGAAGATAGAAAACTGGTTCTAAAAAGTCACTGTTTATTTATGATATATTAATAACCCAAATAGAAAACATAATGTGTGTCAATATATACAAGGAGGTGCTGAAAATTCTTTGCTCAACCAAGAAGGGAAACCACCAAACAATTCTGAGGATTTGTTATTGGTTCAAATTTTAGGATGTGGGTCTGGTTGAGAAATCTTCAGCAATCGTGTGTGTGTTCTTTTTTATTTTTTTTTTTTTAACTTTTCGCAGAATGTACAGATGCCTACATTAAGATCTTAGGCAAAGTACCAAAATATATATAAATACTGTTATCTATTTTATTTTAAAAAATTTTTTATGAAAAATATACTCGTAGTAATAATAATTATTACTGTTAACAATAATAATAAGCATTTAATGGCATTTGAGCACTCTCTCAAAATAGCTTGTAAAGACATCTGGTAGTCTAGTGTGTACTCAAATGTTAGACTTAGTAATACTTGTATCATGTCTAATTCCATAAGAGAATATGAGCGAGGGAGGGATTTATGCGACATCAAATATGGTAATGAGGATGAAAAGAAAATTGGTTTGAAAGAATTAATGCATAAAATCATTTAGATTTGTTTTTGTTATGGACTGAAGGAGGTATTCAAAATGAATATCTTTGCTTCTCTTTTTCAGTATTATATTTATCATGTCTTATTGATAGATGCCATTTTCATGAAGAATTTTTTTCATATTTCATATTCTATATTAATGTCAGCAAATTTTTACTTAACAAAAATCCTTTATCCACCCAATCACCAAAACCTTTTCATCCCTAGACTAAGTCCAGACTGATTTTTTCCTCCTTGTTAAACTAAACTGACCTCAAATTTTCTTGGCCAATTTAATATTTTGTTTCATAATAATGTTAAAAAGATTTTTTTTTTTTTTTTTAAAGAATAGAAAAAAAAAATTTCTGTGGTTAAATAAATGCTTTATTTTGTTCTTTCTTTTAACAGTGAAATGGATTTTGTCTGTTTTGATATTCTCCCTCGTCATCACAGCATTGTCCGGTTTAGAATTGGTAAGAAATTTAAATTATTAATTCAGTTTTCGTAACACATCTATATAAAATAGATTCTGGAGAGAAAATTGTCTAGCATGACACCGTAAACCAATTTTCTTAGCAGCTGACATAGCAATGAATTCAATATAGTCATTCCACTTCATGTCAGCCAAGCATGTTAGCCAGAGAAGATCCATTGAGTCACTCTCCTGGAGGTTAGCATCAGTCATGCTGGTGGGTGGCAGAAAGGCATCTCCTAGGTGATTAATAAAGAGCAGTTTTGTTTATTAAAATTAACAGGACATTCTTTACCCCAGTTAACAACAGACTGTAGGTCATTCTTGACATCAGATGCGAAATTGACCGTATCAAACTGATCAGACTTACGATTGAGACAGGAATAAATGGTTGTGTCATTGGAATAGATACCAATTTAAGAGCTGATACCACCAGGAAGTTTGTTAATGAAAATTAAAAAGTAGGATCAAGGATAGAGCTCTGGTGGACACCTGCATTAGTATGAAATGATCTAGAAGAGTGGCCATTCAGGATAACTTTCATTTCACAGTTTGATAAGAAAAACTGAATCAGTTCAAAAATTTGGCCAGAGACAGGATAACTTTTCAAATTCTGAAGAAGACCAGTATGCCAAACATTGTTGAATGTTTTCAAGATGTCCAAAGCAACAGCCTGAGCTTCACCATTCTTATCTAAAGCTTGATAGATTCCTTGTGCAATAATCATTAGCATGTCAGCAGTTGACCTACAGAAACAAGTCATATTGCTTATGTAAAAGAAGGCTCTGCAATGTTTAACTATTTCAACATTGTCATAATTCATATTTATGGTTTTGACAACAATGAAAGAGCATCTGGATTTCACAATCTTTTTTTTTTATCCAGAGCATCCCAAAAGATTTGTATCTAGCAGCATCTTTCAGTGGCAGTTTTGATATAGATACAAAATAAAGAGTTTAAAATTTCTGACAAAAAATTGAGTGCATGTCTCTTTTTAGCAGAGGAACTTGTTCAAAAGTTCAATAAAATCACTCGCTAGTCATACTCACAACAAAACTGGACTTTCTTACAAAATGATGCCCAAAATAACATTGTCATCTGTTTAGGATCAGCTAACTGGAACCAAACAAACAGAAAAGGTGACAATAAGTACTTGTGGATTCCATTAAATTGCCGTTATTATTCATTGGGAAATACAAAAACCTATGATGATTCTGTGTTTCCATAGACAAGAACATATTAGTCTACAGAAACCAAAAATAAATGTTTGGTAGATACAGTAATTTTTTTTTTTTTTTTTATATACTGTTATGTCACCTGTTACAAGGTCCAAGGCTCACTCAGGGCGACTATATAAGGTTGCTGTAACAGAAGATGAAAGAATGATTAAAAAGTGCACATTATGAGGATGTGTAGGATAAAAATTGGTTGATGAAAATACCAAGATTGTAGTTGTTAGGGAAGCATCCTCTTGGCAGTTTCACAAAATAACAGTTCTGGTGAAGAATCTGTCTGAATGGAACTTACTCATTATCAAGGAAACACAAAAGGAATGGGGATTATTTATCACCATAAACATGGAATGGCGAGATATAAGCTGGTGAGATTAAGGAATGTAACTTGTCTGAACATCTGCCATTGTAATAGCAATAGAGTAGTGAGAGGTAAGCAAAATTTCATCTGTGGGATAAGAGTTGCAGGGTGGAGAACAATTCCTCACTGACAACACAGGGGAATCACTTTTGAACTCTGTTGAGGCTGGACTGGACTGGGTGGTACCAATCCAGATATGGTAACAATAATCCATTCTTGGTCTGATCAGATTCTTGTAAAGATGGAGCATGGTAGCAGGAGTCAGGTATTTTCTGAAACAATACAAGGAATTGACAATTTTTACAGCATCTTCTGCAATAGCATGTATGTACACATTCCATTTTGAGGTCAGGAGTGAGCTTTTGGCCCTGTAGGCATTCAAGGAAAGGAGCCTCTTTGAGAATTTGACCACTCATCAGGACTGCTGTAGCTTTCAGGTTTGCTTGGTGGTGATGAAATGTTAACTAGTTTTGTTTTGAAGGAATGTTCTTAAACAGAAAGAGTAGGACTGTGGAGAGAGTCTTGGAGGACACCAGTATTGATCTCCTGTGCCTCAGAGGACGGACCATTAGATTGCCTTCACAGATCCACCTGACAGGAAAGGCTTGATAACTGAGATGATTTTCCCAGAGATTCCAATGGCTGTTAAGTTTGTGTAGTAATCTCTTGTGTCCCATCTTGTTAAGGGCGATCAATTTTGAAGTGTTTTTATTATCAGGTGCTTCACTGATTCTGTGCATCATAATAGTTAAGACATCAGCAGTGGAACAAAGGCAAAAACTATACTGTTTGTTGCTTAGGAATTTTTGCAGATGTGTTCATCTTGTTGATGATAGGTTCAAAAAGGTTTGTTAATAACACTAAAGAGGCTGAGGGGGTGATATTGTGATGGAGACGGGGACTCACCTATGTTTTTGTACACATGATACTCACTTGACATTTTCCATGGGTTTGGGAAACATTTCTTTATAAGGCAGCACCTAAACAGCTTCACCAAAATTGGAGAGAGTCTTGAGCCAAGGTTCTTGAGAACAACTACAGGGATTTTGTTCCGACCAGTAGACTTATCAAATAAATCTGAAAACCTCTCGAGCTGATATAGGGATATCACAAAGCTTCTATTCTGTGAGAAGAAAGTTAGGTAAGGAATGGTCTTTGTCATCTAACCTAGAGTTAGCTGCAAAGTTCATAACAAAGAGCTTAGCCTTAGGGCCATTTATAATGGCAAGCACTGGTAGTTTGCCCCCTATTGAGTATTGTGTTCATGATTCTCCAGAACTGGTAATATCCAAGTTTTTTGTTTTCTACTTTTAACTGCTCTTTACATTTTCTAGGACTCTTTTACAGGGATTGTTTACACTTCTGAGTGAGGCAAGATTTCTCTTGATAAACATTAATAGCAGTTATATAGCCATGGTTGCAGCACTTTCAGGTTTGAACCAGGGTTATTCCATGATTGATTTCAAAATCATCTTATTTTTGTTGAGAGAGAAAATACTTAAGTGAATTTGGCATGCATCGGGCAAGAAGTTTTCACTTTCTTTTTTTGTGCACCCTAGTAAGGGAGAGCTTCTTTTTTTTTTCTCCAGCCAAAGTGAAAGTCAATTTTGGAGGAATTAATTTCTACTAATGGCATGTAAATATACATGACCCTGTCTAGCTTACCACTGACTGGCCAGTGATTATCCCATGTTGTATCAATTCTCATTCAAATTGATGTACCTCAAAAATTGGGAGAAGTCTGCTGTATGTTCACAAGGGAACAATAGGTGAAAAATAAGCACCACATTGAGAAATAATACAAACTCCGCTTTCAATATTATAAAATAGGTGTTTTTATTCAAAGCTTCACTTTCTTGGTCTTGGCAGTTAGGTAAGTGACATTTAGGACAACTTGTGCTATGTCAGTCTCATAGATCACCTCATCCCCTTACCAACTCCTTGACCATCTACACATCCTGATGTGTGGGTGGAATTGGAACTACGTGAAGAATGGTTTGTTCCCCACAAAGAGCAGAATAGAACTGGCTCCTTTGATCCCAAGCATGACTGCTAATATAGAGCCCCAACTGGAAATAATAAATGTCCAGTTTGTTGTCGCTTGACCTTAAATGCTTTCTTTCATTTATTTGTTCTTCCTCTTTGGGTGCCATTTCAAAAAATCCCATTCACTGTTTATAATACAGAAATGGTTGAGATAAAATCACATTTTCTTCTTCTACATGACTGTCCCAATCATTGTAACACGGAAAATTGATATGTTCAAAGTCATTGAAAGTATAGGCTTTGCATGGAGCTAGATAGCATCACAAAGTCATGAAGAAAGTTACTTCTAACAAGAAATGACTCCGGTGAGAATGCTATAGTTCTGATTGCTATGACAATCGAAGATTTATTTAGCAATTTTGCAGTGTTAAACCTCAATGTAAATGAAACCAAAATAAATGACTAGTTCAATGCAGATGGCCCTAAGCATAAATACCTAAGTGATCAGGATCATGTTGAACTTTATAACTGGAAAACTTTGAAGAGGTGAAGGATGATAATGACATTGTCCATGTTGAGGTTCAACAGGTCCAATGCCCAATTTCAAACACAGAAGCAATGATTGTTTGACAAATGTTTAAGTTTTCAACCAGAAGCTGCCCTTACAAATCTTGCTTGAAAATTAGCAGTGGAAAAACACAAGGCCAGCCAGATATGGACAAAGATTGATGCATTTTTTTTCATTAAAAATAAACTGGACAAAATCTTGAAAAAAAAAAAAAGTGTTTGAAAATTTTATTTGATGATATAAATGCTAAATTTATTTCAGAAAATTACTTTTCTTCATACTTTTTTGATAATTTTGGTAGCAAGCTGGAATTTTGAATTATCTGAAAATATTTTTTCAATCCCTTTCCTAAGGTGTCTGCATAACTAAGGAAGTAATGTAATGCTTTTGGACATTTTAAACATATACTTAAAATACAAGGTCTATGAAAAAAGATCAACTCTTATTGAATTTTTTTTCTTAATAACTGCATATTTTAATAATATTAAACTTGTATTTTTCTTTTCATTTTCTCTCTTCTCTTAACTGCAATTTAAAATTACTTTGTTTTCACATGTGAACCAAGAATGAATGCAATCTATAGATTTTTTTATTCATTTGGTATAGTTTGCAAGTTTCCTTGAAACTTGCGTAGTTTTCTATAGCTGTTTTGCATAAAACTTTTTAAATGTTTTGTTCTTCCTAATTATTGGATAAAACAGTTACATCAACCCAATCTTTCTATTGCAATTTAAAAAAATTTGTTGAATAATCACTTGTTGCTTAAGTGCTCTTAACATGCAACTTTATAACCTCCAGTTTGAAGCCTTAACCATTGAGCTTCAGAACAAAAAAAAAAAAATATATGTTCATTAACTTTGACCAATGACAAAGTATTTTTGTATTTCTCTTTTGCTTGTCATTAAACAACTGTCTGTTTTTAGGAAAACCAAATCGATTGACTCAGGATGAAGAACAGGACAAAGATTATTTGCTGAAGAAATTCCGACAATCTTGCACTTGGCAAGCCTTTGTTCTCAACAGAGATGATTATGACTGGAAATATGATTACCTCATTTGTATGTTTGCTTTTTTTCTCCTCATCTTCTTAGTGGTGTCCATTATATGAAATACGTATTTATATTACATTATTTTATTACAAGACAAGATTCATGTCGGGAATATACTTTTGCCATTGTGGATTAATGTCATTTTTGCTCATCCATACATCAGTTATTCCATCAACTGCTCCTAAATTTTAAGAGAGCTTTTATCACATTGGTAAGGAAATACAGTGACAGAATAGTTTTACATTTGTGCGTCTGTGTAATTTTACTAGCTGTTTATATAACTTATGATATCACGGGTAAGACTTCCTGAACATTTTAAAACCTGTTAATCAGTTTAATAATTATATACATGGTAATGCAACAAAAGTATTGGAAGTGATGTTATTCCAAACTGTTATGATGGTTTATTTATTCGCACAAAAATTTCCCAAATTTAATTCTCTATGTGAAATTAGTAAATACTAAACATTTATAACAAATTTAGTATAGGAGATAAGGAAATTGAACATAAAGTATGCTGCACCAGAGATAGTTTTTCCCAACACAATAAATTGTTAGAAAACCAAAATATTTACCTAAAAACATGAGTCATGTTCATTGTCAGATTAAAAGACATATCAGGCATAGTGATAATACCATTCAGCAATATCTAAACTGTTAGTTGTATACAACTGCTTTCTAAGATCAATGGTTAAAAAATGGCTTTGAGTGAAGCCTGTAGATCTTGGTGAAGACCATTTCTCTTCAGATATTGTGAACTGGCACTACAGAATCACAAAGAACTGTACCAAATAACAGTCCATGTCACTTGAGGACTTTCAACAGTAGCAACAACTAAAATGGATGGTTAGAAAGGAAACCACCCATCAATACTGGAAATACTGAGTGATAACAGTTACTGAACTTGAGAAACCTGTTTTTTTAAAAAATTGTTCTAATATAAAGATTTTATAAATTTCAACCAAATGTAGCACTGGCTGCTCAGTCAATGAATATCAAATGTTTCCTAATGTTACCATTTACCAATAATAATTAATAGTTACATCTATAATGGCACAGAAAATTCTGGTATTGGTGATATGTTGAAGGAAATAGCAAAGTTGCTCTTTTGTGCTAAGTTTGTTTGTATCTATTTTACATAGGCAAGATTTCTATTTTTCTTATCACTACCCACTGACTTTACTACTACTCCATAAACAGCCACTATGATAATGTTCCTTTTCATGCATTAATATATGTATTTGCTTACAGAATATAATGTTGAAATGAGAATCCAACTTATATTATTCATTATCTGCTCTTTGCAATTTTTACCATCTCTATGACTAGTAATACTATTACTACTTCAGTTATGATGTGGCTGAATCAAGAGAGTAAAAGTTGTAGTTTCTTGGAAATTTCTGATTGGACATAAAAACAAATAGAAGGAAGAAAAAAATAAAATTTCAATCTTGCCAAATATTTTCTGGTTTTCATATTAAATTGTACACAAGTCCTGTCACCATAATTTTGTAAGAGCTAAATATTAGTTTACTTCATTGACTCAGTATCAATGGTCACATTCCCCCCTCCTCTTGTGATCTGAAGTCTCCTCAACTCCTTTCACAGCTTGATTAACCATTATGTTGTAATTTTTCACCATTTTTTATGCTGATAATTTATGAGAAAAAATTACAAAGCCAAAGTACAAATAGTGACTCTAAGAAAACTATTAAATTTGTCTGGCTCATTATATGTTAAAATCTCTAAAGATAAGTCTATGGTTATAACTTCAGCATTAAAAATAGGATTTGTTAGGTAGGCATTTTTTGTATTGTTATCTCACCAAGAACAGCTGAACAACTGACTTTATAAATATTTTTGAGCCATTAGCATAAATGTTTATAGTTTGGGTGGCACTTATATTAACAATTTCTTCTAAAATGGTAGATGGACTGATATTAGTTTTAGGGTGTTTGGCAAGGTTTAATAAAATTGTTGGCTGTTTTGTTAGCTAGGGTTACCAGTAGGGTAGTATCTATTTGTGATTCATTAATATTTTCCATAGGAAGGCTGAAAGCTTTGATGGCTGTTTTTTTATGTTGAATAGATTTTTCTATTGTAATTGGGAAATACTGTTGAATGCAGGGTTATTCTGACAGGAATCTAGTTTGGTTTGCTACAGTATTGTATGGCTAATTTATGCCATATTAGTGTTAGAGGCATTTTGCAGATAAGCTTTCCACCAGAGATGTTCTAAAAGCTCCTGGGACAAGTCGTAGTCCCTGATGATGAATTATATCAAGCTCCTTCAGGTATGACTTCTTTGCAGCACTATAAATGCAGCAAACATAGTCCAGCTTGAACCTAACTTGTGATCGATATAATTTCAGTAGAATCTGTCTATCAGTTATCCAGTTTGTGTGGGCAACCACACTGAGTATTTAGATTTAAATTTAGCACAAAGATATTTAATGTGACATATTAAAGATAACATTCTGACAAAGATAATGCCCAGGAATGGATATTGGTCTACTACAGGAATATCAGAATCATCAAGTTTTAAATCATGGTTGTGGTATAGCTTTTAGAGTTAACAGAAATATACATACTGAGTTATTGTGTTGAAAATCTGAATCCATTTTCTGTAGCCTGTTTATCAACTTTATTGTTGGAGTTGGTGCTCAATTGTATGGATATTATTTATAGAAGATCAAAAAAACATTGATATACCTGGTTTCAGGCATTTAACAATATCATTTATTTTAATAATAAAAAGTAAATGATAAGATACTCTAGATCAGAAAGGGTAGTACCAACACGCTGTTAAAAAGCTGGAATCATGGTGCCTTGTTTCCAGAGACTGGTAATGTTGCCACTGATCTATATATTGTTATATATCTTAATTAAGTAGTTGAAGGAAATCTCAGGTAAGTTTTTCAGAAATTTGTAGTGGATTTCATCAGGGCCAGTAGCAGAGTTATTTAATTTATTTAGGGAGTCCAATAGTTCTGATAGAGAGTAAGATCAGTTGTAAGCTTTGCTTCTTGAGTAGAAGGTTCATTTTTTTTTCTCTTTGTTTCTTCTTTTTCTCTCTTTCTCTCTCTTTTTGTTTCTCTCTTCTTGAATTGTTTACAAGTTATTTGATGGGGAAGATTTTGAAAAAATTTTAGCTAGTAGATTTGCAATTTCCTTTAAGTAAATTTATTTTATAGATTTACTTGTGACTTGTAAAAAGACTGAATATTTATTGCATTTTATTTTCCAGTCAACCCTCCAACGCCTATCCCCTGTCCTATTGGTGGTCGTTACCGCTTTATTCAATTTGGCCATGACAATGAAAGATACAAAACTCGTATTCGAGGAGTTACAGACAAACCTCGTGTGCAAGTAGATTGTCGTCATATAGAGAGTGAGGCAAAGTCCTGTACCAAAGATATGACAAAGATGGAGATTGATGCTGAGTACTGTGAGACAGTGGATTATCGGGGACGGCCAATTGGAGAATACGGTAAGTTAAAAATAAAAAATTTTCTTTGAATAGGATGCTTTTTTTTTTTTTTTTTTTTTTTTTAATAACCCTTTCGCCCCAAGCAAGTTGATAAATCCACTAAGATGCAAGGGGCTACAGAGTTCCATAGACAAAAGGTGAGGAGAACCTATTAGAATAGAACTTGGCAATTTCAACAGTAAAATGATGAGACCAAGCTTCCAATTTAGTGCTACTTTTAAATTCATGAAGTCTAGGTACCAAAGAGGAAAGCTCATTAGAACAGTTACCATGAAAGGGTTTATAGAAAAGGCAGAGAGAAGCTATGTTATAGCAATGCGGAAAGTGATTGAAGCTGAGATGCTGGGTCAAAAGTGATAATGGCAAATTCTTTAGATTTTGTCACAAATCTAAATGCATAACACAAGTAAGGGGACCAAGTATTGCAACAATATTCAATGAATGGACATTTGGTAGACTTATAAAGGTGCAAGGAAAAAAAATTTCTCATCTGAATTTATCTGCACCTTTATAAGTCTACAAAAAATAGATACTGCCTGGGAAAAATTCCAATTGATTTGGGTTTTTATATTATTCTTTTCTTAAATCTTTTTTTTTTTTTTTTTTTATACAAATTATATTCATTTGGGTGATCGTGACTCTCTACAGCTTTTTTTTATTTTGCTAAAGTAAAATTTCCTATCATTCTAAATAATTGACTTCCAACAAAAATAGTAAGAAATGAATCTTTACCAGACTGAATTTTATAAATTTTAGCATAACTCAAATTAAAATCTCTATCTTTACAAGAGTCAGATCAGACCAAAAATGAAGTATTGCTGTCATATCTGAACTGGAGCTGCTCAGTCCTCTCTTTTCAGCTTTGATAGAGGGTCAAAAACATTTGTGTAGCTTGATGAATTATTTCCCACCCTACAGTCCTTCTCTCAGTGACACAACATCATAAACTTCTTGCTACTCTCACTATTTCCAGGAATAATGTTCTGATGAGCTACATTGCCTAGTTCCATCAGTTCAGACATTTACAGCTAAGGATCCCCATGCGATATACACAGGATTGAACCATCCACATTTCTTTCATATTTCATTGATAAGAAAGAAGTTCTATTAGGACAGCTTCTCCCAAAGAGCTACTACATTATGGATCAGAATCTGTGGGATGCTTCCCTGATAACTTAGAATCTTATCTTAACACTTAATCCTAGACTAAGATGCTATCTATCATATATATCCTCACAATCTGCATTTACTTCCCATTCTTACAACAACCTCATTTAGTAAACCTCTATCTTGAGTGGCACTTTTAGTAAAAAAAAAAAAAAAAAATTGTTAGCCATCTACACATTTACCTTCTCTATACTCTCTCTCTCTCTCTCTTTCTCTACACACACACACACACACACACACAGGGTGATTGAAAAGTAACTCCCCATTTTAAAATATTAACTGTAATTTTTCCAAGAACTGGATATGAGAGGAAAGCATTTAGCATGACATTTCATTTAAAATTCAACATGGGCCCCAGATTTCACTACCAGCTTCTCAAGTCACCCAGGAATTGCGTCAACCGATTTCACTAGGAATTAGAATGGAAGACATAACTTCTGTATTTGCCCTTCAAGTTTTTCCAAAACCTTGGTTTGGTATAGCAGACTTGCTTCTTTAAGCAATTACACCCAAAAAGTCACAGGGTGTTAAGTCAGAACTCCTAGCGTGTGTGTGTGTATATATATATATATATATATATATATATATATACACACACACACACACTGGTAGGATTGTGTTATATGATAGATATTTTTTGCTTATGAATATGTTTTTTGTTCATTTCTATGGTAAATGATTGCAAGGAAATTGACAAAAACAATGCACAATTTATTGTAAATACATGCACTCGAGTTGCTGCCATGATTTCAAAATCAGTAATTATTGGAACTTGCTTCAAACTTGTACTCAATCATAGATGATATTCAAGGACTCATAACATTTATCAATCTTTACTTGGTTGTCATGGTATTAAATCATCATTGAAAAATAACTAAATAAATAACTTATTGTGAAGCATATTTCTCTTGCTACACATATGCTGTATTGTTGCTTGGGCTGATTCAGTAGCTGTGTTCATCTTATCTGGTTTCCGTACATTGAGAGCACTTCTCTTGACTGAGGAGAAAACTCTGGTGTTATATAGCTTTCCCAGTTCCAGACCCATGCTGACTATTGGTAAATAGGCCTTCTTTCAACTCCTGGTGCTTACCTGATTCTCTGTTACACTCAACCCCTCCCATCACAGCACTAACATGCAGGGGCAGGTGTTTCCTTGCAAGGGAGGCACTTCAACCTCATTGTTGTCACTACATGGAGGAGGTACTTTATTCTCAGTGTTGTCGCTTGCTGCAGAACAGTGGTCCCATACAAGTCGGAGGTCTTTAACATGACATGGCATGCTATCAATTAGGACAGATTGTGGACTAATGATCCCAGTGACCTTCCCCGTTTTCTTTTTCTGATCAAACTAGACTCTAAAGTCTGGTTCCTCTGTGGTGAGAGCTTCACATAGGGATGGATTTTGTCAAAAAACTCCACTGCACCATAAGGAGTGATTCCCATCCTCCCAGTTCCTTAATTGCATTCATCCCAATCAGGTCAAAACCAAGTGGCTTTTCTCACTCCACCAGTATCAACCAGCACAGTGACAGTTTTGCCATCAACCTGGACCCTGATCACAGGTAGTGCCGGGCTGGAGAAGATACTGGCACTGACATATCTCTTTTCATATTTTCTCAGGAAGTTTCAAGACACATTGTTTACAATATGGCAATGGTAACAGTGCATGGTATTGCGTTGTCCTCCCTCCTGTCCCCTTCATTTTGTTGGCTTTGACAATCTTTCGCCATGTGGTTAATACCATTTCATCAAAAAGCACTTTTTGACCTGAATGTCTGTACTTTGCTTTGGATGGGCTGCTGCTGCCACCATGACTTCCTCCATCTCCTTGTCTCTCATAATCGCCTGGGCTCAGGCAAGCAGTTGGTCAATAGTGTGTCCATCCTAGACAACACATGAAGAGTCCCCTTTACATCGCCTGGTAACCCATGCACAAATGTGCAAGCCAACGTACGGTCACTCATCCTGCCCATCAAGAATGTGAGTTTCTTTAACTTAACCAGGTATATATCCACAGTATTCGCCACACCACTGGTACTGATCAATGAGCAGTTGAACGCCATAAATGATTCTGTAGCAATAGCTGTAACCAAGAGTCTTTATCTGGTCAATGTCAGATATTGTTTTGTCATCTAGTTGTTGGTAAACTGCAAATGGTCTGCCTGTAAGTAGCAAAGGGATCACGTACACCAAAGACTTCACTCCACATAGCCTGCAAACAAGTTCCAGCTTCTCTATCCATTCAATCACTGGCAGACTGGACACCAATCTGTCAAACTCTGGAATCAATTTTAAATCAAACTTGGAGTCTGTCATCATCCATCAATCGCCAAAATAGCTTGTGTTTGTTTTATTTAGTTTTTGCATGTCGAGAGCACCTCTCTCGACTGAGAAAAATACTGGTGTTATATAGCTCTCCCAGTTCTAGACCCACACTGACTATTGGCTAATACCTGCCCAATATTATTCACGTGCAAATAGACAGCACCACATACTCTAAGTCAGTCTTCTCTCAACAGTGGGAGGGGACGTAACTCCTGGTGTTTACTGGGCTGACCAGATTCTCTGTTACTGCTAATAATTTGCATAATTTTCAAGATATGAGACTCAAAATAAGATTGAAAGAAAATACAAAAATGGCAATACCTTAAAGTGACTTTCAATGTGAATTCATTATTGAATTAAAATAAAGTAAATTTTCTGTGATTATTTTTATTTGTTTCTTAATTATTGAAAGAGTTATAATTATTAAAAATTTTTTTAATATTTCTAAATCTTTAGTATGGCAGTGAATGTGAATTTCTTCACAGATAAAAAGATTTGAAGTGACAGCATATGAGGAAGATTTAAGGGAAATACGAATTAAACATTTACAATCAGAAAGAGGTAGGTGAAATTTCTGGGACACATAATGAGGAAAGAGGGCTTGGAGAATTTAACACTCACAGGACATGAAAGGCAAGAGAAGCAGAAGAAACAGTGTAACCCACTTAACAAGTCTGAATGAATTGATAGCAGAACCAAGACAAAAAGGGATGGTAAAGAGTCGAAAGTTAATTAGAGCAACAAAAAAAACAAGTTGTGGAGAGTCATGATAATCATCTATGTCCTGAAAGGAGATATCGCATAAAAGAAGTAGTTGTTAGAAATATTTTATTTTTTAATTACTTAATTTTAGATTGGCATGTCTTCTTGCTATGTTCCTGTTTCCTTACAATATTTTTTTTTCTTTTGGCGTTTGCTTTTGGTGGCTACTTTGATTCTTGTTATACATATTTTTTTCTTTGAATTTTTGAGAATTTGAGGTGAAGCGTTATTTCTATTATACAATGATTCTTTTGAACATATTTTATTTTTTCTTTCTCCCCCACTGCCTATTTTTCTTTTCTAAAATGCATTTTGACTGTTTTACCCTCCAGCCTTTATCAGGTAACTCTTAGAAAATTTCAAACAAAACCTTTGATTTGTTGTTCTTGTTTCTTTACTTGTCATAACCAATGATGTTCTTTTGAAATTTCAGAACTTATAATTATCAATTCTTTCATAAGATATTCTCTCCCTAATGAGCCAAAGTATATTCGTACACTATCTTGCACAGAGATTGAACTCACAGGGAACCAGATTTTTTTTTTTTTTTACTATTTCAAGGACTTGTTGAATAATCATAAATTTCTTGAAGTTTAACAAAGTTTGTTTTATTTTTTTAACCATTTTTACCCTAAGCAAGGCAATAAAGCCACTAAGATGCAAGGGGTTACTGAATGTGAAAGAATGAGAAAAAGAAAAATATTAAAGAGAGAGAGAGCAGTAAAAATAAATAAATAGGAATTAATAAAATGGAAAATAACAATTGACATTACATTTAAATTTTTGATGATCAAAGTTGACTGGAAAGCAAGAAACTGGAAAGTGTGACAGAAGAAACTGTTAGCATAGAACTTATGGTTACATCTAACCATTTCAACTGCAAAATGATGAGATTAGACTATCAATCTAGTACTGCACTTAAATTTGTAAAGTCAAGGTACCAAAAATTAAAGATTATCAAAAATTTAAAAAATTAAGAAATTTATAGAAAAGGCAGAGGGAGAATTTGACTCCTTTTAAAAAGGAGTGAAATTATTCTCAGAGCATAGTCACCAAAATAACCTTTGTATGTCAGACAACGAAATGAAAGAAAATATTAGTTATTTTGTTCACATTGTAAAATTTAACAATTATTTATTTTTGTTGGTAAATTATGCCTACATTTTTTTTTTTTTTTAGTGAATTTGAGAGTTGTTAGTTTCAGTGGACATTTGCAGAGTGCATCAAGTGGTAGTTGCTGTCAAGCTAGTGAACTATCATGGCTTGGGTGGGTGGTTTTGGGGCAAGGCCTCATTTAATGAGGGAGAAAACGGCAGGTATCATACTTATTATAAAACCCAGGTTGTGTGTGTGTGTGTACATTTATATATTGGATTGGATTTCCTACATTTTTCAACCGATTTCAACAAAACTTCACAGGACTATGTAAAATTACCTTGCGGTGGTTCTGACAGTGCCAAAAATTGGAAAAACACAATTGTTTTTGCACGAAATATATTTGAAAACACAATTAAGAGGCATTGCGAGAATGAAAGGGGGACACCTCATATCGAGTTATACTTATTATAAAACCCAGGTTGTGTGTTCGTTTATATATGGGATCAGATTTCCTACATTTTTCAACTGGTTTCAACAAAACTTCACTTTTGTTTTCTTTTTTTTTTTTTTGGCAGGTAGTGTTTCTTATTGTCTTGCACACTTTTTTCTTTATTTTTACATTCAGAATGCTTTAAAAATTCCATTTACAAGACAATTGTTTATAATAAAATTCTATTCAATAACAATTGAAAACAATGTTTTTGTTTGGGTTTGACCAATTTGTAAAAAAAACAAAAACAAAACAAAAAAATAAATTAAGACATGCGTGTCTGTCAACCTTAAACAATAATCTTTGTCAATTTTATTTTTCAGTCTTTATGATAGTCGATACTTGATCTATATCTTACTGTTACATCCCCAGGCAACGCTGGGCTCTACTGCTAGTGTCTGATAAAATGAGAGCATGTTCCTCCTTATAAGGATTTGCAGGAAGTGATGGATTTATGCTGGAAACCTCAAAAACTGAGAAAAAGACTTTGATTCCTTTATTCTCGTCATTAAAATGTATTTACTCTCATCACTTATGTTTTGTTTTTTTATGACATTTCTTCACTCTTTTAAGTCTCTTTACTGATATTAAAAATGTGGTAGCAATATTTTAATATTGTACTTCAATGATTAGTTGAATTTCTAAGTCAGTAAATAGAAATATTTGCAACAAAAATTCATGTGCAGAGCTCTTTTCTTTTTTTTTTTCCAGATGAGTCTGATCATGTGCTGAAATGTGTCGGTTATTGGATGGAAGACCTTCGCTCTTATCTAATCACTTATGATGATGAAGATGCTGTATCAAACTTCAGATGTTGGGTGAGTTTTCGCACACCTTTATCTATTTTTGTTTTTAAGTTGAACAATTTTCTAGTTTCATACACTCTATTGCATTTTGATATATTTAACTTTTCATAAATAAACAAAAAAAAAAAATTCTCTCTATATTTTGTATCTACTACAAATTGGTAGAGACCTTCACACTCAATTAGTGTTAGGAGTTATATTAATACCTATAAATCTTTTTAATATTTCTTTTGATATGGAAAAACATCCAAACTGTTCCGTGTCAACAAATAAGTCTCAACAACAAAACTGTAAATTTGGAGTATATTTGTGACACTCGATATTTTGTTTCTGTCAACATTGTTGCTTTTCCACAATCACAGCATTGCAAGATGCAAGTGTTAAGTTGGAGAATAATCAGGTAAAAGTCACAAAGTCTTTGAAAGTTAAGGATTTTTTTTAAAAAGAAAATGTAAATATTTTTTTCTCTATTCTTAAACTGCACCATGGAATTTCCACATTTTATTGATCCTCCAGAAAGATAGCAGCTATAAAAATATTTTCTCAGTTGAAATAGATTCAATTTTGTTCAGATTAAATATTCTATTATTTTTGTTTGTTTTAAACAATATTAAGTAAAATGTTCATAATTTTATTGATTCTCTCCACCAAAACAGTTGTTATTTCAGACATCATAATCCTTTGTACATTGACATCCAAGAATTAATGCTTATAGTTGATGATACTTGCTTGGTTATATTAAGTTTGTTTTTATAATTGTTAAATCTTTTCAGGTGTATGAACGTATCACCTGGACAGAAGTCATCTTGTCTCGAGGTGTCCGTGGGAAATGCAAACGGAGTCAAACTGCACATTCTTCTGAAGCTAGTGATGGTGTCAGCTTGAAACTAGAAATGCATGAGTCTGAAAGACTTTGTGAGTAGTAAAATTTATGTAAAATGTACTTTATCTCATTTGTTGATTTCAGCTACCCACTTCACTAATTCTAAGCTTGACAAAAGTTTTAACTATGCTGTCACTCCTATTATGAATCTTTCTGGAAATCCATTTATATGAAGTTCCAAATCACTGGTTTGTCACCAACGATGTATTGGTACAATTTAAGCATTAATTTACATTCTTTCTCTACAGCAACATTGCCTATTTTTCTACTTGATCCACTTTCTGATAACCAACTTCTGGCAAATGTCTTTCTGTAAACAACATGGCCCTTTTGCTATTGTTTGTGTTTTTTAAAGACCTTTATTTAAAAAATTCTTCTGCTTAAGAAACTATACAAATTTATTCCTTGCCATCATTTTTACCAGATATTGCAAGAATATTGAGTGGGCACTGGGTGATACCCAGTTGTACTAGATCTAAGTTAATACATGGGTTTAATTACTCTGAACTCATCTAATTTAATAAGCTCTTTTTCCACATTTTATTTTCTCCAGTTTTGTACCATAAAATGTAGGCCTTTCTACATTTAATTGTTTGTCAACTGCTGTCAAGACTCTAAGGTTCTACTTATCATAAGCAAGTGGATTACTGCCCACCTTTTCACAAATTGCTATATTGTTTTACTGTATAATCATGGCTAGCAAAATGGATGTTTTATTCTCTCCATCCCCTGAATCAGTTGAGTGTACAATTTTTCTTGTATGACTAATGTCAGGCTGTCAAGTTGACCAATTAGTTTGATAGCATATAGTAAATTAAAGTAAAATCATAATTAATAAAGAATGTGATAAAATCATCAAACATTCTTTGAAACTTGTTTGCATATTTATTTTATGATAACAGAAATGAAAGATATGTTCTGTTTGAAGTAAAACCAAAAAAAAATAACTTATAAAAATTTTTTACTTCTTTTCAGATGATGATTGTCCACAGCGTTTTGATCCTGGATATGATCCTTATAAAAAACCAATGACTATTTATGTCTTGAACAGCAGTTTCAAGAACACTGCCTTCTCTTTACTTGTTTTAATCATGGCTTTCGCTGCTCTGCTAAATTTGAATTTGTAAAAATCTTCAGGTAAATTGTCTGCACAACACTTTTATATTAAAAAGTAAGATTAGTTGAATTTTTTTCTTTTTAACTCTAATTATTTTATCGAAATTAAATACTATTGAATATTATTTATCAAAATCAGTTTTAAAATTAATGACCCACTTTTCAATACTGGAATAAATTGTAAACTTGAACATTTTAAATGGAATATTTTTCTCTGGTGCTGTGTTTTAGAGTAACATTTTTATATGGAATATCTTTCTTTAGAATTTTTATGGAAGTTTATGTAAAACAAAATATTTTGATTTGACTTTTTCAAAAAGTAACCACATTCCTGTATATACATATTCTTACACTCAACTTTATATATATTTTTAATATAAATATTTTACTTTATGATAAAAAAACAACCCTTTTTATCGTGAAGCTTCGTCCATTCATCAAAATACAACAGGGTACAGCAGAAATATTTCCCACATGTACCTTATACATAATGGTAAGATGGAGGTTTTTTGCCACACCCTGTATAATCAAGTGTTCATTGCATCTTAGGGTTTACAGAAAAAAGGTGCCTTAGATTAATATAAACAAAGCTCCCTTTCTTCTATTTAAAGTTTTAGCTGTTTCATATAGAACATACTTTCAAAAAAATTTTTTTTTTTTCATTTTGCTCATCTTTTTTAAGTTTGTTCAAAATTCTTTATCAATTTAATAAACTAAAATTGTATTTAAAGACCCCCCCCTTTTTTTTCCTTCATTGTGGTAGGCCAAAATCATAACAATAAGAATTTCCTAGAGTTTAAAAGGCAGGCTTCAGTTGCAGCCATGTACAAAAGATAAAATAAAGATAATGTGTAAATTTCATAAAGGGACATAAATTAATGTTGTTTGGCACTCACTTTTAATGTATAAATATGTCAACAAAACCATTTATTTTTAATAAATCAAAATCATGAAAATAATAACTTTGTCTGTCCATCTTTCTGCCCAGAAACTTTTTCAAATGTTAGTCTTCGCTTTTTTGTGCTGATGAATCCAGAATCTAGACAAAAACAGAAAAAAAAAAAAAAAAAAAAAATTAGTCTCTTAACATATTTATATGTCAGAGGGGTGGTTGGGTGACAAAAAAAAATTTATATTCAAATAAAAGGTGAGATTCTCAGGCCATTACATTGAAAAATCATACATATATATGGGAAAACCTCTCGGCACTACTTAAATTGACATTTTTTTTTTTTTTTTTCATTCTTAAAAAACATTGTAAATCAGGTTTTCACTAGACTTTTCTCAAGCCACCAAAATATTTTATTTTAGAATAGGGGTTCTTGTTCATAATATAAATACCTATAAGATATCTGTACTTATTGTGCTTACATCATTGCTAACAGCATACTACTTTACACACAGTTAACAATAATGTACACACAAAAAATGTCCAGACCACCATATTTGTATTATTAAAATGATTAAGAAATAAAAATCAATATTTTTTGGAAGGTCTAATGAAGGCTAATCTACAAAAATTATCACCCCCACCACTAAATTTTCACTTTTTTCTTTTTTAAATGAACACACTAGTCAGTTTAAGTAATGACACTCTCTATGTTGAGGTCTATAATTCATTGTCTTCTGTGCAAAGTTTGAAGAAAAAACTATGCTCAACTTCACACAATTCTTTGTGGACTCTCAAAACCTCTGCCACACTTTTTCTGTAATCATTGGAATAAATAAATTTTATAATCTCTACAATAAATGCTTTTCTGTTGTTTTTGTCTTCTATTTTATTTGTTTTAAAATCTTTCATCCCATGCAAGGCAGAAAAGACACAAGGGGTTGCTGGGTGAAGAAGAATTAGGAACAGAAACATTGCTAATGAGTGGGAAGAGAAAAGGGTAATCAGTAGATAGCAGTTGACATTGTCTTTAAATTTTTGGAGATTAAAATTAGTGGGAAAATATGGAGCTGAGAGGGAGATGTGCAAGAAAAGAAACTATTATCATAGAATTTATGACTACATCTAGCCAGCTCAACTATAAATTGAGATCTTGATAACAGTCTAGTACTGTGTTTAAATTCAAAAAGTCTATGTACCATAGCAAAGAGTTTATCCGAACAATTACCATGAAAGTATTTATAGAAAAGACACAGAGAGGCAACCTTACAGCAGCGGGAAAATGAAGCCAAGCCACCAGATCAGGACTGATAATATTGCAGATTCTTCTTTGGATCTTATCAAGAAGCTCTAGGTAAATAGCAGGGGCACCAAAGCATATGTGGCAGCAATATTCCAAGCATGGATGAATGGTAGACTTATAGATATGTAAGATAGATTCTGGAGAGAAAAATTGTCTTGCAGGACACAGTGAACCAACTTTTTTAGCAGCAAACCTAGCAATGGATTCAATTTAGTCTTTTCACTTCATGTCAGCTGAGAGCGTTAGTTCGAGAAGGCACAATGACTTATTTTCCTGGCAGTTTGCATCAGCCATGCTGATGGAAAGCAGAGAAAGAAGCTTTCCACTACTTTTTGGCATAGTACTCTAGGCTCTAATCAACTCCGAATTGGTTAAGTATTCCACCACTCAGGCAAGCAATAGGGCTTTTGCTTCTCTAGGTTAACTAGTGATGAGTTGTTCATTATTGTTGAGTGTGAAGCTCAGGAAGTTGCTTTTGTTATAAATGGTAGCACAAGAGAACAAATGAAACAAGTACTGCCAGTTAGGTAAGAGTGAAGAACAAAAAATTATTTGTATTGCTAATATAGAGGATCTTTGTGGGCAAGGGAAGTAGCCTAGAGGATGGAGAGAGAGTAAATAGGACCTGTAGTTGATGCAGCTTTTCTATTCTACATGATTGCTGACAATATTGTGAGCAGAATTCCTACAAGCAGATGGGATGAATCTCATCTCTGTGTGTACTGTTTTGTTTTTTTATCATGCATTTTGCTTTAGCATCAACATTAATGATTGGATATATATATATATATATATATCTCAAAATTATTTTTTTTTTTATTTTCTTAGTTTTCACATCTGACTGATAGGTTTTGAGGTAGAGTGAATCAGAAAGATGTTTAGTTTGAAGCAGATTATAATGCTTTGGATATCTCAAAGGCATATTGGTTTTTTTCATAAGTTGAAAGTTCATGGTATTTCTGGACAGATTTTTGATTCAATTCAATCTTTCTTACATCATTTGGACCTCATCTTCATTGCCATATCAAACTAAACCATTTATTTTGTCTACTGGGGTAGATTGTTCTAGTTCCACATGCCATATAATCGACCCATTAATAGGAAAGTCACCATCATATGTCTGGAACTCCACCCACTTTGTGGAAATAATCAAAGATGTTCCCATCCAATCCAACTAGATGGTGAGCCTAGACGTGATTTTGTTCACCAAGGTACCCACAGAGGAGGCACTCTTGGTCATCAAGTACAGACTGCTTCAGTTTCATCCTTAGGAGAACGGACCAGTATACCAATAGATGACCTTATGGAGATGCTAACTTTCTGTACACAAATAACACACTTTGGAATGGAATCAGACATATATCAACAGGATAAGGGCTTAACAATGGGCTTGCACTTATCACCAGCAATGGCAAATCTATATATGGAATACTTTGGGGAAATGGCATTAGAATCTACATCACTAAAGCCAACTTTATGGATAGGATATGTAGATGACACCTTCATACTCTGGCCACACCAAAAAGAGGTCCAGTTACTACTGGAGCATGTGAACTCAATAAGATCATCAATGCAATTCACAATGGAGAGAGAAAACAAAAACAAAAACAAACTCACCTTCCTGGATGTACTAATATCTTGAACAGAGCATGGGTTCAAGATAACTGCACACTGCCAACTTACATTCACTGGACAATACCCAAACTTCAGCTCCCACCACCCAATGTAAAGAAAGGGATTTTCTGCTGCTTACAACATCAAGCAAAAGTCATAAGTGGCAGCCCAGAGACACATGAACAAGAAATGGTCAGTATAAGCAGTACCCTACAACATAACTATCCCAGGTTCATGACAGAAGCTCTAACAAACTGGGATAGAAGGATACAAGAGGATAATAATACTCAGAAAACAGCTTCAGTCTTCCTACCCTATGTGAAGGGATTATTGGAAAAAAAAAGATGAAGTCCATATAATATCAGGACCACCTTCAAAAGTGGTTCAACACTTTGCAGAAACCTCTTTTGATTAAGGATTGTGTGTATACCATCCCATGCAGCTGTGGTAAGAAATATAAAGGAGAAATAAGCTATCCCCTTAAGGGAAGACTGCAAGAACATCATAACACAAGGGGAAATAGAAAAATCAAAATTTGTTGAGTTGAAGGGAAATAACTGAGACATCCTTATTTTTATTACTGACCATCCTCAATGTCATCAGTTCTTGACTTGCTATCTATGCTGATGGCACAACTATTCTGTATAAATGGTAAGTTTGATTTGTTTTAATAAGGTCAAATTGGCAGCTGATCTCCAAAATGAAATCCAGTCTGTTGTTAACTAGTGCAAGAAATGGCTTGTTAATTTTCATGCCTCCAAAATGAAATGGCTCTATAGCTGATTATCATCTCCAGTAGAGTGACTCATTGTGCCTTCTCAGGCCAATCTTTTCCACTAACATGAAGTGGAAAGATTATATTATGTTAAATCAATTGCTAGGTCTGCTGCTAGGAAAAGTGGTCCACAGTGTTGTAATGGACATTTTCAGAATATATATTCCACATTTATAAGTCTACCATTCATCCATGCATTGAATATTGCTGTCATATCTGGTCTGGTGCTTCTGCTATGCATTTATAAATGCTTGATAAAATCCAAAGAATCTGCAATGTTATCTGTCCTGACATCTTGGTTTGATTTACTTTACTACTGACATAATGAAACTTCCCTGTACCTTTTCTATAAATATTTTAATTGTTTTGATGTTCTTTCCTCTTTGATCCCTTGACTTTACAAATTTAAGCACTGTATTAGATTGGCAGCTAGGTCTTAGCATTTTATAGTTGAAATTGCTAGATATAATTCAAGTTCTATGCTAATAATTTTTTCTCATACTTTCCACTTGTGGAACTCTGTTCCAACTTCATGCTTTCTGGTCAATTTTGATCTTCAAAAATTTACATGCAATATCAATCATCATTTTCTGTCTTAATTCCTGTTCTTTTGCCGTTCTCTCTCCTTAATGTTTTTTTTTTTTTTAATCTTTTCTCAGATTCTTTCACTCAGTAACACCTTGCATCTGACTGCCTTGGGGTAAAATAAAAAAAAAATCTCATTTAAGATTTTTTTTTTATTGGTGTGAAACTATATAGAAAGACATTTTTAGACATATTAATGGTAATAGCTTCTTTAATTAACACTATTTCAACTTATGAAAGATTTCCTAAATATCAAAAGGGTGGGAGGAACTTGTATTTGTCTATTTCTCTCTGCTCCTATTTCTCTAACAACTTAATTACAATTTCCTTTGCCTATTATTTATTGTGAACCTCTTCAAGATATCCTTTTCATTCTCTCTTTTCTCTGTAAACAAGATGATAATGCTTTTATCCAAGTTTTAAGCATTCTGGTTCATTAATATTTATTCTTTTCCCCTTCTCTTCTCCCACAAATCTAACAGGGGAATAAGGTTGTTTTTTTTTTCTGCATTATGAGGCTTTTTTTCTTCTCCTATATTTCAGTTCCACTGTTCTCCCCCTAGCCCCACACACCATTTGTGAATATTTACATGCAAACATTGTAGTAAGTGGTAATCAACTTACAGAATTGGGAACTTGGCAGGAATTGTGTTTCACTTTCTGGTGATGTCAAAGACTAGAGAGAGAGATAAAATAAATTTAGTTTAATCAATGTTGGACTCTAAAATTATCTAACCATATTTAAGAGTTAAAATTGAGTTAATATTTAAAAAATAATAATAAAAAAAACATTTGACAATGTTGTGACATTATTAGGCACTGGTAAATTGAAAAAGGGTTAATGAATAGAATGATGGACAGATTGAGCAAAAGAATGAAAATATCTGATTTTGGACTAGATCAGGATGGGAAAATTTTGCGTAAGCAAAATGTTAAATGATAACTTATTGTCATTAATTAAAAAATTAAGCCATACCAAACAATCCGGAGCTAGATTGGTCAAGGGGTAGCCAAGGTGGCAGGTGCAGGTGAAATATCAAGGCAGATGGAGGAAATGCGCACACCCACTGGGAAGTACTGGTGTGAGATGCCAATAAGAGAAGGAAGAAGTTATTAGGGAGAACCAATACTTGTGACCACTACCCTTAGGAAAAGAGTATCTCCCTGATTTGGAAATGTAATTAATTTCCCAGAGCCAGACAACAAAAGTGCTCTTGGAAAATAGGGGAAACACTGAATCTCTTAACTGTGTCATGCCCCACACCAGTTTTAGGCGAATGTCAATAAATATAAGGAATTGAAGCAGCTGATAGGCATTTGTTGTAAACGCTGAGACAAGTAACGACTGCATTGCCTGATGTCATGTGACTGCCTGCCTGAAGAGAACCTCCGAAATAAGCCTTGTGCCAGATTTAACCAAACCAGCCAAAGGGTCATGTTCAACTTATAAGAAGCAGGTTGGGTCGATAATTTTCTGCATGAGGAATTGATAAAATCAAAACTGACCAAGCACTGTACAAAAGAATGTACATAAATACATTTAATTTTATTAAAGTTATTTTTTTTCTCACTTGCATCTTCATTCTGCCTGGACCAACCCAATATGACGATTCCCGATGGCGATTCAATCTTTGCCAGCTTTATAATCAAAACTAAACACGTGGGATAAGGCAGGGTTTGGACTTGAAGCAATCATCTCATTGATCAGCTATGGGAGTTGGACATTTGGCCTGCCAATCAGCTGAGGAAGAGGCAACAATATTAACAGTATTTAAAAGCAAGATACAAAGTATTGGTGAAGCCTAATAAAATATTTTCCCAAAAGAAATCATCCATTGTCTAATCACAGAAAGTTCAAATTGATTTATGTAGCCATGTTGGCTTTTATTGATGATTGAAGCAAATATTAATACTTAAATTATTTTTTAAAAAACATTTTCATAAGAATGAAAAGATAAGGTAACCAATATCATTTAAAAAAAAGCTTCTTTTAATATTAACTTTTTCTTTCCATAATTATAATCAATTAATTGCATCTTTGGAAATTCCATAAAGTTGAGAACAAATATTATCCATTATCTTATGCTCCTGTATCTTCTCATTTCCTCTCTTATCCCTTCTGATGTAAGTTATGTCATGAAACATGGATTAGTTTTATATGTAAATAAGGAATGCATATATATTTTCTATTTTAACTGCTTCTTCTTTTGCTCTATCAAACAAAGAATTTTCATCTATTACAATTTTTGTTTTTTCTCTCATTTTCATCCCTTCCTTTTGTGTAACATAATATATTTTTCTTTTTGCTTTTCTCTTACCTCCTACTTTTCCTCTTCCTCGCTTTTTAGCAACATTATTATATGAATTTCTCACTCACAATGCATAACTGAACCCCACTCAAAGTGGGCAGATACTATGCTCTGATCATTGGTTGGAAAGTGTAATTGTAGTATATACAAACAAATAGAATGATAAAGATTCTTAGCAATATTACAGTTGATAATAATTCTCATACCTGATTTCTTGTAGAAGGTCCATTATTACTACTATTCACTCCTGTTTCTGACACTTGGTTTATGACTGAACAGGCACGTTGGCTGGCCATAAAACCTACAATAAAAATATAGTCAGAGTTTGATGGCAAATTGAGGAAGGAAAACTGATATTGAACAAAATCATTTTGTAAAGTCATGGGTGATGCAGCTAGAGTATTGACCAGAGTATAATTACTTTTTAATTAATTATATACTATTTGTTAAGTTCAACTGTTTTAATAATTTTTTTATCCAATGCCAATTTCCTCTTTTGGACAAGGAAATTACAGTCCTCTAATACAAATGGAATGGCATTTAGCAAAATTAAAAAAAATAATAAACAAAATTTTGTTCAAACTATAATTTCTACAAGATAATGGTTTTTCATCTTTCTATAACATTCCAGGTTATTGTGACATCCAAGTTGAAAGTCACTCTTAAAATGATTTAATATTTGTTTTTGTTTTTGTAATTGTTATTTACCATATTACTTCATAGCAAATAATTGTGAGAATAAAAATATTAGGAAATGACTGAACAGGGATTCATAAGTTCATTAGCTATCTAAATTAAATATGATTTTGGTGAAGCAAATTCCTTATGTTTCAAGGAACTATAATTTCCTTGCATAATGAAATCACATTAAAGACACGATAAAAATATTTTTCTCACAAAAATGTTAAGTGCAATAAAAAATGTGCTTTAATTCCTAAAGGGGATTTAAGGTGATTATTTGTATTATTCTTCAATAGGTATTTTGAATCTTAACTGAGAACCATTACGGACCAGTAAGTGTTATCTGATGATTTCATCCATCCTTGATATAAATTCCATGTAGATAACACCATCAAATTTGTCAATTAACAAACAAGAATTTTTTAGTGTTTATTCACACTGTTAAATTATCAATGACATTAACAAAATCAAGAAATCTGATTTGTTAATGAAATATTGATTGCCTCTAAACAAGTAAGAATCTTTAAAAATTACAAAGATTTATGCTGATGAGATTTTTTTTTTTTTTTAATGTTGCTGGTGCTTGTAAATTTGACTTTGCTTATCAATAATTCAATAGGATTTCTCAGACTACCCACAAGAAAAATATTTTGTGTTGTAAAACAAACATCTTTTATGGTTTTTTAACTTTCTAAACTATTTTATAAAGCAAATATCCAAGAAGTAAACAGATTTCAACAGTAAATATAAAATCTCATTTTTAGAAAGAATAGAAAAATAGTTTTATGGCAATCTGCATTAATTTTGTATGTAGCTTTGCAGTTTCATTTTTGTTTTAAAAAAATAAAATAGTTGCTACAAAAGATTGGTTCACCTGTAAAAATTAATATCACTGCTAATTTTGATATGCAAATTTGTAAACAAAACTAAGTGTTAATGCATTATGATAAGGCCTTTTCACAATTTTGAGCATTAATTTATTTCTTTTCCTACAAACCTGCTTCTTGAGAATTCCTCATCAGCGGTTGAGCTAGCCCAATGCTAATTGTTTTTCTCTTATGATGTGAATTTCCAATATCTCCTGTTGCAACTTTGTCTGGTAAAATCTTATTCAAGTTTACTTGTTTCTTGTTGAGAACTGAAGAGGAATGAGATGTGCCATTTTGAGAAAAAAAAGAATTCCCTATTTTAGTTTGATTTGAAAACTGAGAAAATAAGGGAGTTTTTATTTGTGCCAATTTCTTGTCTGGTTTCTCAGTAAAACAAGATAAATACTTTTGAGTTGGGGTAAATTTTTCATTTGATGTGGGGTTATGAAAATCAAGTACAGATGGCAAAAGAGGATTTGAGACTCCTTGAGAAGCTAAATTCAGAGAAGTAGAAAGTCTGTTTGCAGCTGCTGAATCAAAATAGCAATGATTTGTATGAAAAGTTGGATCTGTCAAATCATGACTTGTTGGTGAGACTGCCATTATTTCCTTATTTTTATCAACTCTAAAATCTTCAAAAAATTGTGACCAGGAATTAAAAGTAGATTCTGCTAACTCATCATCTTTCATAGATTTCTTTCTTTCTTTACTCATTAAATATTTTTGTCTTTCTTGTGAGAGTTTTCTTTTCTGTTGGGAATCAGGACTAGTAACCGTTTGATAATCATCGTTCAATGAAGCAAAATTTAGTTCTTTTGAAGAGTCAATATCAAATTTGTCACTTGCTGGATAATAATAATTCTGTGTCCCTAAATTGTAATCCAACTGAAAATCATGATAACGAGGGCTGCATCCAATTGCTATTTTATCTAATGTATTTGGATCCAGAAATAATTTCTCATGTGAATTTCTTTTATTAGACGAATTTTCTTTTGTATACAATCCAAAATCATTTGATGAATATGCTTCTATTGTTGTACAACTATTTTTATTAGGGATTTCTTTCTCTCTTGATGAAGCAGGATAAAATTCCAAGTCTGGAATTTCGAACAGAAATTCATTGTTATCATTTGAATAAGTGTTTGAAGATTCAGCATGAATTTTCCGACATTTGAAATGAGGTATGTTTTTCTTATGTATTTCCTCTTTATCCAGTGGAAGATCTTCAATATCCATGAGAGATGATGGCTTCTGGTTTGTAAGGGGCTGAGATTCTAAAAGTTCATTTGGATCTACCTGTTTGCTTTTAAATGAGATTTGGGAAGGAAATGAAATATTTGGTATGTTGGTGACTTTTAGTTGTAGACCACCATCTTTGTTTGTTACTTGATGGAATATCTGAAAAAAGAGAATAAGCTAAAGTAAATCTGAATTCATTGTCAGAATATTAAAACAACATACTTTGTACAGAAGTGCTGATATGATTATTTACATCTACAAAAAAAAAATTGATAATTTTAAAATATTAAGACTTTCATTTATAACTAAGCAGAGATATTTAATGTTCTGTTCAAACACCTCAAGCTTGACCCTTTTTGTAGGCAGCTGATTTTCGCATAATAATCACTGAAAAATATTGTGAAGATGAGAGTTTCGTTTTTCATGACATACAATATTATTTAATGCAGGGCATAGGTAATCATGGCTCTCTACAGGCTCCTTTTCTATATAACCTGGGAGTTGTTATCACTTTTTAGGAAAGATAGTGGAGTGGTTCCCAATTGCTTTTTCCATGTTTTTTTTTTTTTTTTTTTAACCTGGCTGCCATCAAAGTCTAGAGAACCAAGTGTACCCTGCTGGCAGTATAGAAGAAATGAATACATGCCTTTCCCTAAAGCACTAGTGCAAAAGGGACTAGAATAAACCAGGCTGGAATTTGAAGTTGGCCTGCCAATTCTACTTTTCACACTTATAAATGTTATGTCACCCACAAATCTATGGTGGAAGAATAGGTGGACATATTTTAATGTACAGGCCCAATGTGTATACATGTGGGTGAAGAAATACTGCTCAGTCCTTAGCAAATCTACCCACAACCATGACATTCCCCTGACTTTACTCTGCTTGTGCGAATAGTGTGGTGTTTCCTCGGAAGACATATCCCCAGGGACCAGATATGTTTCATTTATACCATGTCTAATTTTCAGGGGAAATCCTATCCAAAAGGCTGGGAAGTGAGATATGTATGATTATCACTAATGTGGTAATAAAGACAAATAGATTTTAGCATAGGAAATATGCAAGTGTAGTTTGGTTTTAGTTTCACAGAAAACTGGCAAAACCTGTTTGGGTCATTTCATAACATCTAATATTTATATAATAATATAGACCTCAATTTTGTTATTGAGAGAGAGACAAGAATCCACTTGTCTCTGTATTCACATGTTAACTAAAAGATTTCTTGATGTACAGAATGAAAATATCCAAGAAAGTATTTAGTAGTTGATATATGTTCAGAAAGAACCATGCACAAAACTAATTACTATTTGTTTTGTTAAGTTTTAAACTCATCTTTTCATTTCTTGTCTTGGGTCTAAATATAAGATATATGGTAATAGTAATATTAGCTGTTTCCTTATAAGAAAACATTTGGCTTTCATTGACTGAGCAGGTTGTATGACTGTTAGTTGTATTTATAAAATCTTTCTCTTTAAAACAATTTTTCAGGAAAATAGGTTTCTCAAGTTCAGTAGTGGTTATCATGAGTATTGATGAGCGAGTTCCTTAACTTTTTATTTGAAGTAGTGTGGAATGTCAACATCTTGATTATGTCATTTTCTTATCAAGTTACATGTGATATCCATTTTAGCTGTTAAAAGCCCTCAAGTGATGTGGTTTCTGTTATTTTGTACAGTTCTTTGTTTGAGATTCTGTTATGAGTTGCAACTTAACATAATTTAGGCATGACACAATATATATCATCAAACTATATGTGATATTGTGGGGAAAATTGTGAAAATGGCCTACCTCGGAAACGCGTTCGAATCTGCGCAGTATGTAAACTCTGGTCCTTCCAACTGTAAAAAAGAAAACCAAAATGGTGGCGCCCGCGTTTTATGCCGAGCGGTCTCGGTCAGTTAACGTGAAATCTCGTTGCCTCGTGATTCGCATGCAAATCGTGGTCGGTCCACAGCTGTATAAAGCAGGCTCGTTTCTGCTGTTTCAAATGAGAGGCTTTTCGGATCGTGAGAAGGTTGGACGTGCGACACCGGTTTTCTTTGTGCCTACCTGCTATCATCAGTTGAATTGTTGAGTTACACAAAAGCTATTTCGGCAATGGACAAGTTCGATCTAAAGTTGATCCCAGAATTCGACGGCTCCCCCACATATTAAAAAAATTCAAAATGGTTTGAAAAAAACGAGCGATGTTTGCAGGGTGTCCAAAATAAAGTTTAAGCTCACTAGTCATCCCACTAACTCATGGGAGGAGCCTAAAATTATATCAACAACTTCAGGACGATGCCTGACCTGAAGAGATCAAGGGGCGCCCTGTATATGGCCTTTGGAATAGATCCATTCGCCGCTTGGAAACAGTTCGTGGGATGGCCCATGGCTCGTAATAACAGGTGAGACCGTGGATGTTTACCTGGCTGATTCTTTTAGGCTGGCAGTACCGTTTTGGTGGACAACGGACCTCATACTGGGACTAGCCTTCCTGGCAGGAACTTCCCGACGACACCAGTCGTGCTCCTGCGGCGTCTTCAAGATTGGACACACTGGGAATTGACGAATTGCTAGCCAGGGCCCGAAACATCTTGAAAGACACTGAACAGATCGCGGCACCGTGAGCTCCTGAGATAAACGAACCGCGGTGGACCCAACCATTTCTCTAGGGACTGCCGGGCCCAAGTGATAAGGAGGGATACAGCAGGCGGATTTTAAACATGATGCGGCTGCTATCGCTGCAAAGAGTTAGGCCATGTAGCACAGGATTGCTCGAGAAACGGTCCAGGGACAAAGTGCTTGTCACAAAATTGCCCCTCTCGGTCAGTAAATGCGGCATTGCCTGTTGTCAACGTGTGCGTTGAGGGTAAAAAGATGTTCGGCGCTTCGTTGACACTGGATGTTCCCGATCGATCGTTAGTGCGGATCGATGCGTGACATGGAACAGTCAACGAATCGAGATTCGGACGATTGACGGGTGTCCCGGGCCTGTTGTGGTGTCGGGACTGTGTCCGTCTAACAGACGGAGGGAGTCATGCCAAAGTCGACGTCTTGGTGGCACGTCAAAGGCCCCTGAATTACCTGCTACTTGGGATTGATGCGATCCGAGCGTTAGGAGGCATGATGATCACGCCAGCCGGAAATGTGGAACTGGGTGAAAGAAGAAAGGTGTGGCAGCCCTTTGCGTTAGTGAGCGGACTTACGTCTCCTTCAATTCCGACGAGAGAGTGTGGACGCCAGGTGGAAATGGGCCCAAAAAGACCCGCCAGTTCAACTTCAGAACAAGGTCGCTGAGTACAAAGTTCCAGACAGCATCAGAGGAAAATACGAAAGAGCTTCAGCAGTGGATTGTGAACGGCTGGTTGATTCCGTACCCCCAGGAAAGACTGGGACCCCCAAAGGGTCTGATTCCCTTGATGGCAGTCGTGCAGGAGCAGAAACAGAAGGTTTGTCCGGTGCTTTCGATTACCGTGAATTGAACGACTTTGTGGATGCTTTCACTGCCGATGCAGAAATGTGCGCACATAAGTTGAGCGCGTGGCGGCAGGGAGTCAATGTGGCGCTTCTGGATCTGCGGAACGCATATCTTCAGATTCACATCGACCCAACGAAGCGCTGTAAATTCATTCAAGCGGTTATTTTCAAAGGCCAACGCTTCTGTCTTTGGCGGCTAGGATTTGGGCTAAATGTGGCGCCCTCATCGCAGAAATCCGTTATAGACGCCATCTCATCGCAAGAACCGCACAATTGAAAGTGCCACATCAGCATACGTTGATGATATCTTCATTAATGAAAGTTTGGCTTCTGCATCGCGTGTAAGACAACACTTTTGGATTATGGTTTGGTGTGCAAGGATCGGTGCGACTGAGAGATGGAGCAAGAGTTCTTGGCTTATAAAATGGGAAGAAAATGGCACCCTCCGATGGAAACAAGGAAGTCAAATTCGGAAGCCCCTGATGTGTTGACCCGGCGGCGCGTATTTTCGTTGTGTGGGAAACTTGTTGGACACTTCCCAGTGTGTGGATGGCTCAGGGTGGCAGTTGCATTCGTCAGCGCCTGGCAACCGCGGCAACCAATGGATGGGATGATAACATCAAAGATCCCTCTCTCAGTCGCATACTAGCAGAGATGTTAAGTAAGTCGCTGGAACTGGATCCCGTCGGAGGAGACTGGTGCATGAGTGGTGACAAGATCACAGTCTGGGTGGATGCGAAGTTCCGTGGCGACAGGAGTGGCATTGGAAGTAAATAAATGTCATCGAAGATGCGTGCTGGCTGCGTCCGACTAATGATGCCAGGCACATTAATTTGGCTGAACTCGATGCGGCGCTTAAAGGGTGAATCTGGCTCTCCAGTGGGAGGCGACAACGTTGCACCTGGTCACTGATTCGGCGTGTGTGCACGGTGGATTTCAGACACCTTGACCGGGAAGGCACGGGTGAACACAAAAACGGCTGGTGAGATGCTGGTCAAACGACGGCTGGGCATTTTTAAGATCGTTGGTGGACGAATATGGATTGACCGTAGACGTGACACTCGTGCAGTCCTGTCAGAACCGTGCAAATTGCCTCACCAGAGTACCGCACAGGTGGCTAGAACTGCTCAAGAGGAGAAACCGGCACTTCGAGAGCTGTGCAGTGGCAGGGAGGCGACTGGATGAGGGACCAGGTTGCCAATACGCATCGTCAATGCGGACATCCGGGCGTGAAATGAACTCTGTACCAGCCAGGTTGAAGTCGACCTGCAGGTGTCCAGAGAAAGCGTTAAATCCGTTGTGAAGGCCTGCACAACCTGTCAGTCGATCGATCCGGCACCCGTTCACTGGGAAAGAGGAGAACTGAGCGTGAAGAGCAACTGGAGCTGACTGGCAATGGACATGACTCACTACAATGGTGAGAATTTTTAACACTCATTGATTGCGGTCCCTCCAGGTTTGCGGTATGGCCGCCGCATAAAATAACAAGACAGCACCGTCATTCGACTGTTGGAGAATGTTTTCCTGGGCGAGGCCCACCCATGGAAATACTGACGGATAACGATATCGTTCACCAGTAAAAGATTTTAAAGAATTTGCGGACACTTGGGACGTGCATCTGCGGTTTATGTGCCTACTCGCCAAGTGGAAACGGCATCGTGGGAGCGGAACCACAGAACCATCAAGACCATCGCAGCCAGGAAGGGCTGTACAGTGTCGAGCGGTTTACTGGTATAATGTGAATAAGATAACATTTCACCATCCACGGCGCAGGCGATGCACTGCACAAATATCATGTCCCTGCGTGAAAGGCATCGAAGCCAACCCGCTGCCTGAACTAGAAGTGACTGGAGGAGATTGAAAAAAAGGAGACGCCATTATGGGTCAAAAACCCACGCGGCAAGTGTACGACAAAAGTCTGGCACTGGGCGTGTTACGGAGGTTATCAGCCGCAATCTGTGAGAGTTGATGGGGTGCCTCGTCACATTAAAGACTTGCGACCGGTGACGCAATCACTACCTTCTACCGGCGATGAAAGCGATTCGAGTCTGGGAGTAGTGAGCGTTCAATCTGCCTTGAGTTAGACCTGCAGGGCAGCGATTCTGATAACAGCAGCCTCCCGGAAAAACAGTGTTTACCGACACTCAAACCTGAGCGAGAACATGCAATAGGATGAAGCTTGTGTTATCCCCCAATCGGAGAGGACTCGACTGTAAACGATCGCCACCTCCTGCCCTGTTTGTGATCATGAGATCAGGGGAGTGTGGGGAAAATTGTGAAAATGGCCTACCTCGGAAACGCGTTCAAATCTGCGCAGTATGTAAACTCTGGTCCTTCCAACTGTAAAAAAGAAAACCAAATGGCGGCGCCCGCGTTTATGCCGGCGGTCTCGGTCAGTTAACGTGAAATCTCGTTGCCTCATGATTAGCATGCAAATCGTGGTCGGTCCGCAGCTGTATAAAACAGGCTCGTTTCTGCTGTTTCAAATGAGAGGGTTTTAAGCTCGTGAGAAGGTTGGACGTGCGACACGGTTTTTCTTTGTGCCTACCTGCTATCATCAGTTGAATTGTTGAGTTACACACCACAGATATCAATATTGATCTTTGTTATATAGAATATTAATTTGGTTATATAAAAATACCATTAAAAAAGACTTACGACCACATCATGTTGAAACACCAGTTTCTATTCAATCACTAAAGTTAAGCAATGTCGAGTCTGGTCAGCAACTAGATGGGTGACCACTTGGAAATACCACATGCTGTAAGCTTAGATTTGTGGGTGGTGTAATGAATAATGACCCAGAATTGTTAATTGGAGAGCTGAGTTCCAATTCCAGTTGGGTTCACTTACACATAAATACCGTTTGAAAAAGTATGTATTTCCCTTTTCTTCCACTGTGACACTATTTAACTATGGTAATTGGCTAACTAATTAATCATAGGAATTAAAACAAGAAAATACTGAGAATGGAAAAGAAGATACACCAAAATTTTATTTTATTTTTTTTTACTTAAGAATAAAATCGAGTTACTTTCTCAAAGACCTGTAAATCGGCGTAGACAGTAGACTTGCAGAAAAGCCATATGCAAGCTTTTTGACAATTGATTAATGTTGTTTGTAAAAAATGCTTTCCAAGAGAACATGAGATTCAGAAAAAGCAAAGCGTTGAGATATCAAGCAGGCTATATGGTGATCATAAAATTTTCAGCATGAGATGATTTGCCGATACTGGGTAAAGAGAATCAATATTAATTATCTTCCCAAGATATCATTTTTCTTGAGTGCCAGCAAAGCAGGGCCATATGGTAATTGTGGAAATTTTGGCATGAGAAAATATTTATTCTGATACGGGGTGGAGAGAATTGTTATTATTTACTTTTCCAAAGTGTTGTCTTCAGGTGCTAACACGTTGAGTAGCCATATGGTGATTATAAAATTTTGGCATGAGAAAAAAATATCGTGGAAGAATTGCGATTTGAGAGATAAGAAATTTCATTTCTCAAGAAGCCAAGGGTTCCAGTAAAAGCTAACTTTATGAAGGGACCAGATGGCAGACTTTGACAAGTGATTGGTGGAATTTGTAAAAGTACTGGTTAAGAAGACGCAGAGTGACCAAAAGATCTGAGAGATTTTAAGTGGTAATGTGTGATTCGTAAAAATTTTGGTCAATGGGGAAAAAAAAGAATTTTGTAAACAAAAATTCTGGGTTATAAGTTTAAGGAGGCCAGTTTAGCCACACCCACACATATGGGATGCCATTGATCGAGTGGTAGCAATGATGATAGGCGGAGGTAATTTGATGAGAAGGATGGGGAAGTTATTAATGCCCACTGAAGGGATTGGTGCGAGGTATCAATGTGAGAGAGAGGGAGAGTTTAGGAGGATAGATCTCCTCTGACCTCTCCTCATGGATGAAGAGATCCCCCAAAATGGAAAGTGATTAATTTTCTAAAAATGGGAAGTCATTGTAAGAGATTTCTAGTCAGAAATCGAGATTTACCGAAAACCCAAGACTGTGTCTAACCTTGCACCAGTTTTTGGTCGCTACCCATATAAACAAACATCCTAGGGCCGTTCAACAGTCAGTTTGAGAGTTCAAGTGGCAGGAACCAGAGTGTTGCCTCGCAGAAGCTGACCGAGAGATTCCACAACTTCCAACTTCGCCTATCCTGCCAATAGCAAGTTATACTGATGAATGAAGTTAAGCCAGCACCTAAAAACTAAGCCAGTTGACTTAGGAGACCAGAACTTGCTTAAGAAGCGTAGAAGTATCACACTCTGTAGAAAACAGGCTGGGAGAAAAACACATTCCTGTATATAACAGACGGATAAAGTTAATTTGTTATTTTTAACATACTTGAACCTCTTGGGGTTTTATTTGCTTCTTTTTCTTTATGCTTGTGCAATATCACCTCCAGTCTACACTCATCTTACACTACGGCCCGACGCCTTATTGATCTCATCTACCTAAGATCAAAATCGCAACGTGGGTAGGTTAGACTTGAGATTGAAGCAGTTACTTTGGTAACCAGATGTTGGAAGTGAGCTGGGAACGATGGAGCTGGTGTTGAACTGGTTGCAGCTGGTGTGAAGCTATTAGCATCGACCAAACATCCCACTTGGTACCCTGACCAAAGGATTCTGCCAGGATTCAACCCTGGACAGGCCAGTGTCACATATGGGTACCCGGACCAAGGGATTTCGCCAGGTAGCGACAACCACTGATTGACCGGGACACAAGCTGGTGGCAGCAACTAAGAGTCAACTCCAAAATGCCGATGGGAGAAACATTACAGTTTCATGCTGTGACTGGGAGTTGACCACGGGCCGACAGCTCAGTGTCACACCACTAGCTATGGGTTAATTAGTAAGATTTGTATTGCTAAACCATTATCATTTCCCAAAATAAAATAAAATTGCGAACAAAATATTTACATTTTGGCATTAAATAACCCATAGAGGTTGATATAAACAACCAACCATTAAAAAAATTGTCTAGTATAGATACAATTCTGTAGGATGTCAGCTGCAAAATTTGATTAGATATTTTACTAACACTATTAAAAATATCAATGACAAAATATGTTTAAATTTCATGCACACATATTTTTAAAAAGAAAAAAAAGGCAAATGATTTTCCAAGAATGTTTATGACAGTTAAAAGAAATTGATAAAATGTTCAGTTTATACAAATATATATATATATATAGATGATTATATCAAGAACAAAACAGAACAATATTTCAGTCAAACAGAATTAACATAAGTAACAAAAAATAAACCCTTTTCAGTTAGAGGACCTTGATTTTTAATTAACAAAAACATTTAACCCAGACAGAGAAAATAATATTTACATAAAATTAATTCTGAAATCATTACATTTTGTTTTCAAGGCAAGGTTTAAATATAGTTTCAAATTCAATGAAGACAGAGTTGCATAAGAAAAGAATCTGGTAAATATATTAGGTGAGTGATTTGAAGATTAAACTCACCTCAATTACATGATGAGGGAGCCAATGGAATCTGTGTTTCAAATGTTCAACTGGTAGCAGCAACAATTGCTTCAATGAAGTGGACTTTAACATTAACTGGGCACTAGAAATAAAATATATTAACAAACAAATTATTGACATAAAGTAAAAGTCCTATAAGATCAATATTTAATTTTTGTCATATAGTGATCTTCCATCATCACCAAGTGGACCCTGAATGTTCACCTGTTGCAAAGAATGGGTGTTCTCTTAGGGAGGCCATATGCTTTGAGCTCTTACTGGGATTAAATTCAATCCAGACCTTAAGTGAAACTAGTAAATATGATCCATAGTTAAAAATACTGGAAAAAGTGGTCGGTTCCCTGTACCTGACTCCTCCTGCTATCCTCTACCTTTACAAGAGCCAGATCAGGCTGAAAATGGAGTACTGTAACTATATAAGGACAGGAGTTACCCAGTCTTCATTTTACTCTCTTGGTAGAGTCCTAAAACGTTTTCATATCCTTGTGGGTGAAGCATTATTTTCCAGCCTACAACCCCTTTCTCACAGACTAAACATTGCAAACCTCTTGTTGCTCTATTGCTATTTCCATGGAAAGTGTTCAGATGAACTACATTCCTTAATTCCACCATTTTTAACTTTCACAGCTAAGACCCATCATGCTATACACATTGTAGCAAACCATCCTCATTCCCTTTGTATTTTATTGATGAGATGTAAGTTTCACTCAAGCCACTTCTTCCTATGAACTGCTGTTTTGTGGAACCAACTCTCAAGAGGATGTTTTCCCAATCACTTCTTTCTTTTTATGTGCCGTGTCCTTTCAGAATGTAGGTGATCATGGCTCTCCACTTCCCCCATCCCTTGTAGCTCTCAATAAGTTTTGTCCCTTTGCCACCTCTCCCAGCCCATGTTCTGTCATCCACTTGCTTAAGCCCGCCAGGTATGTCATGCATTGCTTTCTCTTGTCTCTTTTTCTCTCTATTCAACCTGTGAGTATCAGATTCTTCAGGCCCTCCTTTCTCATTACATATCCCTGAAATTTCATCTACCTCTTGATATCACATATAAGCTTCCTCCTTGTTTGTATCTTCTCCAAAACCTCATTGTTGCTCACAAGCTCGGTCCATGATATCCTTAGCATCCTTCTGTAGAACCATACCTTTGTTGCCTTGTGTTTCTTCTTCATCTTTGAGGAGACCGTCCAACATTTGCTGCCATAAAGGAGGACAGATGTCACATAGCAGTTCAGTACTCTTTTCTTTGTTACCAAGGAAATACTCCTGCCTCACAATACTCTGCTCAGTTTTTTAAATGCGTCCTTGGCTATCCCAATATGTCTTCAGATCTCAGCATTGCACATACCGTCCTCTGTCAAAACATTTCCCAGATATTTAAACTTTCACGCCTGCTTGAGTTTAGTGTCCCTGACCTGCAAATCGCATTTTAGGCTTACTGATGACCATACATTCTGTCTTGTAGTTTATGCTTAGTCTCTTCTTCTCACTCTCCTTCACTACCTTCTCTAAGAGGTTTTGTAATTTCTTTTCCATGTCTGCTATCAGTACTGTGTCATCTGCATATCTTATGTTGTTAAGATTGTAGTCACCAATGATGAATCCCAGTAGGATTTCCAATTCTCTCAGAATTGCCTAGCTGTATAGGTTGAATAAGTCCAGTGAGAAGACACATCCTTGCCTTACGCTCCTTTCTATTTTTGTATATATGCTAAACTTATCTATGCGCATGAATGCCGTTTGCTGCCAGTATAGGTTCTTGATTATTCTAATATCTTTTCCAAATATATCAAGGTTGCTGAGCAGTTGCAACAGGTCCTTGCAGTGTACTTTGTCAAACACCTTTGCCTAGTCTATAAAACATAGGTACATGTTCTTCTGCAATTCTATTGCTCTTTCTGATAACATTCTGAGCATAAATATCATGTTCCTTGTCCTGGTGTCTTTAACAAACCTGCACTGTTCTTGCCCTATCTCTGGCCTGATTCTGTTGCATGCTCTATTCATCAGAATATGGATGATGTGTTTTGTTATGTGGCTCATTAGGCTGACTTTTTGGTGGAGTTCACATTCGTTTGCACCTGGTTTCTTAGGCAGTTCTATGAAAATAGATCGGCTGAGATCTTCTGGTATATCCCCAATGTTGTAGATTTTATTTATTATTTCTGTGATCTTGTCTATGCCAAAGTCATCTAAGGCTGTCAGCATTTCCATTATAATTCCGCCTGGCCCTGAGACCTTGTTTCTGTTCAATTTGGCCAGTGCAGCTTCTACTTTGGTTTTTAGAATTTCAGGTCTGTCAGTAGTTTTGCATATTGCTGGTTGTTCTCTTTCAGCGTGGAAGAGTTCTTGAATATATTAGTTCAAGCGCTGAAGATTTTTTCCTTCTCTCATGTAAGTGTTCCATCTTTTGATTTTAAGCAGCCTGTTAACAAGCATGTCTTCTGTCCTGTTAGTTGCCTTATTTGTTTATGCATATCGCCTTTTTTGGTGGTACTCAATCTCTATTTCTGCACATTTTTTGTTTAGCCATTCTTCTTTAGTCTGACTGCATTTGGTCTTTATTTTATTGTGTAATTTTCTGTATTCCTTTCCATATCTTGGCAGAGTTTTCTGTCTCCTTTGCATTGTGTTGAGAATCTCATCAGTCATCCATTTGTTTTTTCTTTTTCGTCCATTCTCCTTTGGGATGATATTGTTGGCTGATGTCACTAAAGAGTTTCTTAGTATGTCCCATTTTCAGTTTTCATTGTGTCCCTCATGTCTTCTTTTCACATTGTCCATATATTTTTCTAGTACAGGTCACTCAGGGGCTTGTTGTATTGCAATTTGGGTGCTGCATTAGGCTTCTTCAGTTTCTGCAGTTTCACTCTTAGTTTACATATAACAGAGTGATGATCGCTTCTGCTGTTGGCACTTGGGTAGGTTTTGCAGTGAACCATTGCATTCCTGAATCTTTTGTTGATAGTTATATAGTCAATTTAGTTTTTCCTCCTGGACTCCTCCATGTTCATAATCATCTCAGATGTTCTTGTAACCATGTGTTGGCTATTACCTGGTCAATGGCCATGCACCATTAAATCCATTTTTCTCCATGTTTGTTCCAGGTCCGAATTTTCCAGCTATATCCCTTGCCCTCTCGCTGCCTACTTTGGCATTTAGGTCTCCCATGATAATGATGACTTCTTGTGATTTGCAAAGAGCCTTGACATTGTCTAGCATGGAGTAGAAAGATTTGATTTCTTCTTCCTTACTTTGTGCTGTCAGTGTGTACCCTATTATGATAGCTACATTGACTACCAGAATTCTTTCAGATAGTTGGTAGTATTCCAGAACATATTTCTTAAATGTTTTATCTAGTATTAATCCTACTCTTTATCGTTTTTCTCTCCACTTGCATAAATAATCCTGTGCTTGTTGCTAACAAAATCTCCATTGTTTGGCCATCTAGTTTTATATACACCTAGGATGTTGATTTTTTAGCCTGCTCATCTCTTGTTTCACATACAGTCTTAAATATTTAACCCTAGATTTGAACAGGTTATCTTCCTCGCATATCCTCATAAACTGTACTTCTTACTCTGTAACCCTCTACATTGAGTGGCTCTTGGGCCTTATACAGAGTGAATATCATTGTAAAAAAAAAAAAATTGATTTGCATGATCTAAGCTATCATGTTGGTATAGTCAGAATTGATTCCTGTGGACTATTGTGACTGAACAAACAGATGTGAATCAAGGAAAAGAATGCAGTTTCAAATGGTATTTCCAAAATGGCATGAAAGTATTGATGATAGCTTTCACTTTGGAAGAAACCTCGGTAACACAATTTTCAATGGGAAAAATTGCAGATTTCACTCCAAGGGGTATTGCAAAGAAAATTGCAAAATGAATCCCAATTAGTGCATTGGTAACAAAATGATTTCTTGTGAATAGGAGATTCATGCCTAATAGACAAGTGAAAAGAAATATCTATAGACACTACAGCATGATATAAATTGCTAAAAGGACAGAGTTGCAAACCATGACAAGAGTCCAGAGAGGAGGTAAGGAAAAATACTTTTCATTTTCAGGTTGTATCCTTTTATTGAAAGTAAATATATTAAAAAAATAAAAGGAAAAAAAAAACAAAAGAGAGAGCTTAACAATTTATAGATTCATGTTATTACTTGTTGAGTTTTTTTTTTCATTCATTGTTTTCCTATAGACTTGTAGTTCCTTCTTGGTTGGCACTGTTCTGACTTCCATGGCAACCAAAAATCTAAATTACATAAGATCATCTACTTATAATCTATAGATTATTTTGCATCGGTATTGGTGGTATCATTGTACAATTTACTGGAAAGCTGCATTCCAGAACCTATTTGTAAATTATCAAAAATATTTGAAATGTTTATTTTATTAATATTACTATTTATTTCTTTAATAGCTTTTTAGATTAATTTTTATTTCTTTGAATATTTTCCCATGAAATTTGTAATGTATTTAAAGTTATTCAAATATATTTCTATATCTCAATGAACAACTACAAATATTTATACATTAACAATAGAGCATTTTGATGTGCCTCAGTGATTAGTATATAAATTGGAAGGGGTGTTTTCGCTTTTTAGTTGGATAACAAAAACCTATTCAGGCTTCAAATTTAAAGAAAACAGACTTAGCTTCATAATTATTGTGTAAAATTTATGATACTTGAAGTACATGTATATAAATAAAAATGTGAGTCATAATTTGAAAATAAACTAAATTTTATAATAAATTATTTGTAAAGGCAATAAATAATACAAATGACAAGTTCAAATACCTTTTTTATGTCAGCAAAAATATAAAATAAACCCTGAACAATGTCCAAAATTATATTTTACTTATGAGACAACTTACCAAAAAGAATTTATACAAGGCCAATTTATCAAGAATTTTTCTTCCTGCAATATAAATTTAGAATCATTAAAATAACATGATCAAAGATAAGATTTTGTTTCCTTTAATCTTTCTGGCCATCATAAATAGTAAATCATCTTTCAAATTAATGGAATCAATATAATGTCAATACTAACAATGATAATAATAACATTACTGTCATATGACTTAAAGATTAGAAATTTTTTGTTGAAATGTTCATTTTTTTTATTACTTTTCTAAGATAGATATAAATTTTCTGGAGGAAACATTTACTCAGCATATAAGAAAAAGAAATGCAACTTGAAAAAATCTCGAAATATTTCTGCTTTTGGTAAAAAGAAACTACTTTTTTTTTTCTAAAGTAAATTGAAAACTCCTGATTCCATCCCATGAGTCTACTGAAGAAAAAGCTCAAAAGACAAAAAGGGTTACAGTAAGTCAGTCTTTGATATAAATGTCAAGCACAGAAGAAAAGGACTATATTTGATAAAAAAATCTCATTTTAGTCTAGTAAAGATGACTGTGTTGCTTCTGCTATTTCTAGTGGCTTGACATCAAAATATAAATAAAGGCTTCACTTCTAAAATACATTGACTTCCTATTTATGTCTGAATCAATATATAATATCCTTTTCATAAATGGAAAAAAATTAACATTTTCCATTTGGAAAGTAAAAGATCAATAGTGTACATGGAAAAATTTTATCTGCTTACATTAGTTCAGGATTTATTTTTATTTTTTGTCTTTCCTTTTGCTCATTTAAAGTTTGAAAGAATATTTACTGCCCTAAAAGCTTTTTTTGCAAAATTCCCTTCTTTCTTGAGTTTATTGATAGTTATCAACAGTACTTTTAAAACAATGAAGAGTGTCATAACACCTGGTGCTAGAATTTAAGCAAAAATATCTTTACAGAAATTCTTCCTAATTTTACTTTCAGAGAAAAAAATTTGAGCATTATTTTAAGTTTGAAATCTTTACTACACTCCTACAAAATGTTTATAAAAGTATTTTTTAAAGGTTAAGATGGTCAATTTGAAGAAAAAAAATCACTGATTATCAATAGTTAATTTATAGTTTAAAGTTCAAGTGAATTAGTTTTTAGACAGTTTGTTTATCAAGTAAATTAAACACTTGCAGATAGAAAATTAAATCTATAATACACAAACTAGACAGTATTGAATCAAAATTTAGTTTGATTTTTGTACATTAAGAAAATCATTTTATTTAATTCATATAAAGAAAAACAATACAATTGAAGCTTATTTAATTTAACCAGAATGAAAATACTGAAAGCGTATTTTGTTGCGAGTTGCTAAACCAGTGACTTGTATTCTTGTCTCAAAGGCTGTTCAGCTATATTAAGTATGCTATACTCTGTTGCAATTAGATCTCTTTCCGATTCATTCTGCATACTGGCCAGATGTGAATGCCACAAAGGTAGAGAATGTAATAACAAAAGTTGTTTTTTGCACATCATGTATCACATCTGGTCTATGAAGCAAGCTCCAGCAGTGGCCAACTGCGATAAAGAGATGCCCTTGGGGACTGCCAAACTTGCTTAAAAGCAGGCCTCAGAGAACAACAGTCAGAGTTCTAACCAATTTGGCCACCAGCTGGTATGCAGGGCACTGCTGCTGCAGCCACCATTCAACAAGACTGCACCTCTTAATGACGGTTACAATGCCCAGGCTTGATCAACTGCCTTGGCTATCCAGCTTCAACTTGAAAATATCTCAACTTCAACTCCTCCCAGCTACAAGACTTCATCAACACCAATCTTGTCACCTCGGCAAACACCAGCCATGAGTGACCAACTATCCAGCCTCGACACCACTCAGCTACAAGCCTTCATCGTTGACGACTGTCACCTCAGCAAATATCAACCAACAGAAATCAACCTTACACCAAGACCTCACCTGCTGTCACTTTGGCCTACTTCAACTTGCTTACAAGATACTCACTTCGCAGTTGACACAGTGACCTCTGTTCCATAGAACAGTCTGTTATACCAGAACATTACCTATTCTATTGTAATACTCTTTCCCACACATAATAAGTAGTAGTAGTAGTAGCGGTCGCCAGTTGAGCTCAGTGGTGTTGAGCGAGTCAGTCGATGTCGGACATTGAAGTATCAATCATCACAACTAGATTGCTGCGTCATTAACTCTTATTTCAAGTTCCTAATGTTTTGTACGTCGAACCCTTTTTAGGACCGACTTAGCGAAATACAAGCCTCCACTGTGAAAACTAGTCTACAACACAGTCCTATCAACCCTTGCCATCACCTCAGCCTACCTTGACTTGTTTACAAGGCATACCCTTTGCAGTTAACACTGCAACTGTCCTCCATAAAACAGGCCTATTTGCCCCTGCTGTCACCTCAGCCTACCTCAACTCATTTACAAGGCATTCCCTGCACATTCAACACTGCAACCTTTGTTGCATAGAACAGGTCTACCAAAACCATGCCAATCCGACATCACTCAGTTCAACACAACAGGTGTACCAACCAGTGAAACGACCTACCACCATAACCTCGATCAACCAAATGTGCACCAACCATATCCTGTGATCTCAGCTAGGCCAGCACAAGAAATAGATCAACTCTTGGCACTATGCTTACACCAGATCACTATCCTGCTGATTACCCACTGAAACTGACATTTCACCTAGTTTTGACATATGTGTACAATATACTACCCTTCACTGTGACCTCAACAAACCAACATGGGCACCAGCCATATCCTGTGACTTTACACCAAACCCACACAAGAATTAGGTCACCCCCCCCCCGCATTGACTTTACACCCTACTGCCAACCTGACACCAGGCCACTGAAATGGACATTCCATTCATCCTTCAATGTCTCTGTACTCTCTACCAATAAATAAATGTTGTTCAAAATTTAATCTTTGTTATTTTTTTCTCTTGCTAACAAACACTTAATATAACAAGTAGCTTTTCTATTTCTTTTACTATTTGTCAAACTCGATAATCCCATGATTAAATAATGCATTATGGATCATTACTAGTTATGATTTTAAATTCTGATCAAGCTATTTACCTTTGTGATGTCTTCAGTGAGCCAGTCTCGTTCAAGCCATTGTTGATGGGACCAAACTGTACATGTTTCTAGGCAATGTTCACTTATTTCTCTAATAAAAACTGCTGTTTCATTAATTTCATAAGACAATAAAACCTGAAATATGAGAAAATGTATTTAAATATCCATGTTCTGATACCATTGTACAGTACCTCTATTGTTTTGTCTTCATGTTGTTCCATTCCCTTTTTAATTTAGGTACATTTTAGATTAGTCACTGTTTTTGACCACTTACTGTTTAGCCTGGAGTAATTATTGGAACCAGCACAATAAACCACACGGTCAAAGCACATGGCTCCTACTTTTTTTATCCACTTAAATCTACCCTCAAATGATATGTAACTTTTTAACCTTTTTCTCTCTGCATTGACCTCCTTTAACATTGTATTATTATTTGAATGTTTGTTTAGAGTAGCTACTTTTGCATACATTTATTTTTAATGTTGTACTTCCTCATGTAGAACCTCTTTGTCACACTGTGTTATATTTTAACTTCATGTAACTTTTTTCCTTTCTGTAGATTCATCACTGTAAACTGTAAAACACATTCTTAAAAGTAAACTATTTGCTACCTACTTTACCCATATAGATCTTCAGTTTCCAGTTATGTTCAGACTTCAGCTCTGTTTGTCATATTTCTTCTTTCCCTTTTTTTTTATCTTTTTATTTATTTTGTTATTCTAACTAATCTCAAGTTTGTATTTATTTTTTTGGCTTTCAATAAACTTGCTGATGAACAGGATTGTCACAGAGTTTTGATTGCTGTAAGGCGTTTATCTGGCTGTCTGAGATGGACACATACTGGGAGGCAGTATAATCAATATTTTCAATTGTTGGCATACAATTATTTTAGTGAAATTCAAGACAAATTTCTGAGATTTGTTTTACTAAATAATTATTAGACAAACGTTTAATGACAATAGTATAAGAAAAACTGAAATAATTTATATCCTTTTGGTTTCTGAAATCTGTAAACTACAGAAGAGAAATGTGTCAGAGGTATGTTATGAATTAAGTATGATGAAGAAAGATACAAGTTTTCAAAGATACAGCTTAGGTGGTCACAGACAATTTATAAAAATTACCAAGTTTTCAAAACTTGGAGAAACAGAAAGTAAATAAAGCCTAACATCAGAATATCTATATATTGAATATAATACTACTTGTAAAAAAATGAAATAAGAATAGCAGGGTTAATTCACAGAACTTATGGGGATTATCCCACCTTGTCTGCCTGGACATCTGCCAGGTGGAGTTCTATTCAGGATTATAAAAGAAAGGAACATAAAGACTTGTTGAGGGAGACAAAAGTTATCCCCCTTTGACTAAACCTTTAAAAAAAACTAAAAATAGATATATAGCTAGTCACGTGAACAGCCTGAGGGATCGTTAGGCGCGAAAGTCAAACACTCTTTTTGGTTCCTGGCAGTCAAACCAGAAAGATGTACTTATTCAGGCTCATGACTATCAACTTAAGATAAGTACTCAAGATCACCTTCTTTTTCAGATATCAAATCTCTCACAAAAACATATACACACTCTGTATGAACATTTCAAATATATATATATATATTCAATTGATGTTATATGAAGACTTATGTGGTTATTTTAAATTTTTGTTATGTGTTTATATTGTATTGCTATTTGTTTTGTTAATTAATCCAATAGCACACTTTCTCGCACAACATATTTGATAACCCCAACAAACAAAAAAAAAAAAAAAAAAAAAAAAAGAAAAGAAAAAAAAGGCATACTTTAATACCCACCACATTTTATAAAATATATATATATATATATATATATATATATATATACCCAAGATAAATAAAACAGAATGGACCAAGAGCATCACAAGATGACTGTCCAACAAATAACTATCAAGACACCAGAATTCATGCAAGCCAACATTACCAGTTGGTTTACAATCATTGAATCTCAATTTTATTTGAGAAATATTACATCACAAACTACAAAATTTTACAACGTCATTGCTTCGCTACAGGCAGAAATAGTGGCTAAGATCCCTGGCAACGTTTTAAGCACTCACAATTATGATGAACTAAAACAGACCCTTATAGAATCACATGAACAAGCAAAGCCAGAGATGCTAGACAAATTAATGTCCACCTCCATTATTACAAGTTGACTGTCAGTCTATCTTCAGGAAATGCTGTCAATAGCAGCGAGATTAGAAATCAGCAATAAAATTGTCTTACACAAATTTTTTCAGGCATTGCCGGTTTTGATAAGTCCTGTGTTTGCCACACAAAAAGACTTAAGCCTGACCAGATTGGGGCAATTGGCAGACAAGTTAATGCCTTTAATACAAGACACCAACTACTAGAACAAGCATGTTTAACCACATTCAAACAAAAGAAGTGCCTCCTAAAACTTCAGCAACACTACCCTATGGTCTCAAACCCTTTCAAAAGGGACAACTACAAAAGATATGTAGGGCACACATTTACTATGCAGAAGCAGCGCACACATGTAAACACTAGTGCAAATGGCCAAACAAAAAAAAGACTTAATACAACAGCCAAGTTCGTGTCCATCTTCGCCAGCTCCAAGTGAATCGGGAAACTAATTGGGCAGACGACGACTTCCCCCCCTAAGTCCGCCATTACTACAGATATCAGCAATGTTGGGGACACACAAATTCTCATTCATTATAGATACCAGCGCCAGCCTGTCTATCATCCCACACAGTCACATTAAAGGTTTATCTACGGATCCAACACCAGTCACTCTGACAATGGCTACGGGGTCTGAAATACGCGGCTACGGGCAGCTTAAAGCTGAAATAAGCTTACCGACCCTTCGACGATCTTTTCTTTGGACATTTGTAGTAGTGGACATCCAATACCCCCTACTAGGATTTGATTTTTTAAATAATTTCGGATTGCTAATAAACTGTCAACAGAAAACAATCGTCGCCCCCACAGCAGAGTGTGCAAAGAAATTGAAAATATTTAACAACTCTATCAACTTGGTCGTAAATAATAATAAGCCCGAATTAATTAAAAACTTGATAAAAAAGTATCCCAACATTGTATCACCACATACCAACCCAAACACCACGTATGCAGGATTATACCACAGAATTGACACAGGCAGTCATGCTCCTACCTTCGCTAAGGCCAGAAGAAAAAACCCAGGCAGTGAAGAAGGAATTTTTTAAATTACATAAAAATGGTGTTATTACACCTTCTGACAGTGAATGGGCCAGCCCCCTACATGTAGTAAGAAAACCAGATGGAAGCTTCAGATGCTGCGGTGATTAAATAGCATCACAAAAAGTGATAAATACCCTATCCCGAATATTAACTCAATCGCTGATAAACTAGCTAACAAAACTAGATTCAACAAAACTGACCTGGTATCAGGATATCACCAAATCAAAATGCACCCAGATGACATAAAAAAAAAACAGCACTTATTTCTCCTCTCGGTTTACATGAATATAAATATATGCCGTTTGGATTAAAGAATGCAGCATCCACCTTCCAAAGATACATGGACAAGATTTTTCAACATGTTGACTGTGTATTTGCATATATTGATGATATTCTCATTTTCAGCGATGATTCATCATCACACATAAAAGATATTGAAACTGTTGTAAAAATTTTACATGACAAGAATTTAAAAATTTCAATAGAAAAGCTTCGATGTAACTTCAGTCGATTTCTTAGGATATAACATTAGCTCGGATGGTATTAAACCTACACAAAATAATGTTAGCACATTACAAAATTTTCCCCCTCCTAAGTAAGAATCTTCATTGTTTCTTAGGCATGGTGAATTTTTACAGAAAATTAATCCCTAATTTCGCAGACATAGTCATGCTATTGACAGAAAAAATACGCATATGCAGTAACACTACATTTACACTAAATGATTTAGAATTACAGGCATTTAACAATGTTAAAAACAAAATTAGTGAATTTCCATCACTAGCTCATCAACGGTCTGAGTATACTGAATATCAGTTAATTACTGATAGCAGTAATTATGCTATTGGTGCAGCCCTGCATCAAGTAGTAGAAGGAACACCAATTCCAATAGGTTTCTTCTCTAAGAAGTTGACACAAACTCAAACGAAATATTCAACTTTTGATAAGGAACTTTTTGCAGCCTATTCAGCTGCCTTATATTTCAAGCATATTATTGAAGGCAAACAAGTTTTACTTTTAACTGACTATAAGCCTTTATGTGGCACATTCCATAGCCTAGACCCTGCTAAGTCAGATAGACAGCAACAGCAATTAGCAATTCTAACTGAATATATATCAGATATAGGCCACATAAAGGATGATCAAAACGTTGTAGCTGATTGCTTGTCGAGACCTACTCTAGCAGTTACGGTAGATCTGTGTGACTTGCCAGCTATAGCGGCCGCACAACTTAAGGACCCTGAGTTAAAAGAATTCCCTGAATTAAAACAATTCAAATATAGTACTGGCAATAATAATTCCATATACTGCGATAATAGTACCAGTGTTCCCTGACCATACCTGGTGAATTACGAAAATCTATTTTTGATAGTATTCACGCAATATCACACCCTGGAATTAAAATTTCATGTAAAATTATCAAAACAAGATTTTTTTGGCCTTATATGGACAATAAAAGACATGTGTAATGAATGCCAAACTTGCCTGAAAAGCAAAATTCAGAGACACACTAAATCTGCTATTCACCCTATTGAATTGCCGACTATTCGCTTCAATACAGTACACTTAGATTTAATCAGTCCTCTCCCTGTGTCTAGGAGACATGATGAAACGTACAACGCTCCTTACAGATATGTATTGACTGCACTACTAAATGGATAGAGGCAGAACCACTACCGGATATCACAGCTCGATCTGTTGCCAATGCATTTGTTCATGCGTGGATCACACGATGGGGTGTTCCTCTTCATGTAATAACTGATAATGGTACTCAATTTGAGAGTGAATTATTTTCCGAAATAGTCTCAATAGTCGGCTTCTATAGATTGCACACAACTAGTTACCATCCGCAAACTAACGGAATGGTTGAACATGCTTATAGAATAATGAAGACAGCAATAATGACTAGAAAGGAATCATGGCTTGACACCCTCTAATAATATTAATGGGTATCTGTGCTGCACCTAATTCTTCTAATACCTCACCATTCTTTGCAGTTACATGCACGCATATAATGATTCCTCAATTGCTTGTAGACGATACTAACAATGACATAGACAATCAAAAGTTTGCTAAGGAATTGCAACATACCTTACATTCCTTACAGCCAACAGACAAAGATTATAGCTCCATAAACAAATTGCATCAATACATCCCAGACAAACTTAAGACATGTAAGAGTGTATGGCTAAGGGTAGACAGAGTTTGCAAACCTTTGGAAGCACCTTACACGGGTCCCTTCAAAGTGTTACATAGAACCGGTAAATATTTCGTGATTAAAACAAACAATGACATACATTCAACAGTATCGATAGATAGGTTAAAACCACGCGCAGAACCTAGAACTAATAAGCAAATAACTGAAAAGCAATCTCATAGCAACAAAATAATAATGGATACAGAAAACATAGAAAAGAATGATACTAAAGTAGGTAGAAAAATTTCTTGGAAGAGAGACAACCAATATCACTATTACTAGACTCTGCTACTAGGCAGGGAGGTATGTTGAGGGAGACAAAAGTTATCCCCCTTTGACTAAACCTTTAAAAAAAAAAACTAAGGCTCGTGACTATCAACTTAAGATAAGTACTCAAGATCACCTTCGTTTTCAGATATCAAATCTCTCACAAAAACATATACACACTCTGTATGAACATTTCAAATATATATATATATATATATATATATATATATATATATTCAATTGATGTTATTTGAAGACTTATGTGGTTATTTTAAACTTTGTTTTTATATGTTTATGTTGTATTGCTATTCGTTTTGTTAATTAATCCAATAGCACACTTTCTCGCACAACAGACTTGCTCATTTTTTTGGGGGGGGCTGAGAGATGTAGTAGTGACAATAGAACTCTTCCCCTCTGGGGAGACTTCTTAATCTCTGGGAAGCCAACTACTTAATTTCCACTCATAACCCAACACACACATGCTACAGTTAAGCACATAAATGTTTTTCTTCCTTTTTTTGAGTTAATTATAGTCATAAATATAATTATCTCTTTCTCTCCTTTTATGAGCTATGTTGTCCTTTATATAAAAATAAATGCAACTACAACAAAAAGTTCACCCAATTAAAATTAGTGAACTCACAAGGGATACAGAATTTTTCTGAAGATAGAACCTCTGTAGATGTTAACAAGGTTTTTTTTTGTGTGTATTTTTAAATGAAGGTAAATGTTCAATATGTAAACAAAGATAGAAGCATGAAAAAATTTGTGTTTCTGCTACAGATATTTATTCCTTTTAAGTTGACTCTATTAAAATAAAGTTAAAACGTCTCTTGAGCATGTCTGTTTTTCTTTTTGGGTCTGAAATGATTTATGAGAAGTAAGGATATGAACAGGTGAACATGGTCAAGCACAAGTCAGCCTCACACTGAATTGGGAAGACCAAGTACGTCCATTTTTCTTTTTGATTCTGAAATGATTTATAAGTAAGGAAAAATGAGTAAAGCTGGTCTAGCTCAAGCCAGCTTTGCACTAAGTTGGAAAGACTGAACATCTACTTCATAAGTAGGGCTGCTAAAACACGACTAACAATGTCATTGGTAAGTTGAAATAATTCCGTTGTCAGTTGACCAGGGGATGCTATTACCATGAGATTCACATCTTGAAGCAAACAGGAGAAAGAAGAAAATTTTGTCCTTTTGGGAAATGGGGTCATAAAATTGCATGTGATCAGAAACCCTTTCCAATTTCTTTATAATTTGCATCACTGGAAAATGTATTTATTTTTTTTGGGGGGGGGATTTATTTCATTTTCTCCACACCTTCAACAATACAACAAACTTTTTTCAACAAAATTTGTATGTTGGAAAAATACATATAGCCACTACTATTATTAACCAAATGACAATGCTTAACCCTTTTTGGCTGAGTCATTGGTGAATGTTGTCAGAACCTCCAAAATATCAACAATAATACCAGATATCATCTACAAAACAGCTCATGAAACATGCTTTGAGACACACAGTATTAGTTTCACCAGAATCAACTCAACAAGTTTACAACTCACAATGCATTCTTTTAGCTGCTACATTTGTGTCAACAAAATAAAAATCCACATGTAAAAATTCATGAGGCCTGGAAATAGAAGCTAATTGGATACATTAGAAAATAACCACAAATTTTCTAACAGCTGTATCAACTCACTGCTAGTCTTTTCAATATGAAACATACTGTTAACATTTTCTTCAGAATGTGCTACATTTAAAACACCAGAAATTTCAACAGCACTGATTCCACATTATTCTAAATGAGTTCTTTTTTCATGAACATGTTACATTGTAACTTGATCACTCAAATCTTCCTTCATTATACTATGAAGCACAGAAAACATTTTTACATATCAATAAAATACATTTTTTCAATATGGGTGGGGAGTATTGTAGAGATTACCCCATCTTGTCTGCCAGGATACCCACTAAGTGGTATTCTATTCAGGACTATCAAAGAAGGGGACATAAACACTCTTGCTCTCTTTTTGCTCAGAGAGGTCATAGTGACAACAATGAAACTCTTCCTCTCTAGGGGACTTCTTAGTTCCGGGGCAGCTGACTACTTAATTTTTCTAAATTTCTTTTTGGTTAAAAAAATAATATCTGACAGAAAAGTATAAATTTTTCTATTATTTGATGAAGACAAGTGTACT